GAGATGGCATGTGAGGAACACTGTTTTAGAATTATTCTAGTACTCACCTCAAAGCTACACACAGAGACCCAAGACCGGGGGAAGCTAGACAGAGACTGGAGACCAGGGGTTGAGCAGGTAGGTGTCTGTGCAGCAGGTCTGTAATGCAGTGGGAGGGGCAAGCAGTGAGAGGCGAGTGGCGGGGCCTGAAGGACCTAAGACCACACAAGGTTGTACTGGGGCTGAACCAAAGAGATAAGGAGGGGTGGGGGTAGGGGTGGGGGTGTCTCTCTGACCGTTGTTTCCTTCCTGATGAGTCTTACTGTGTAGCCTAAGCTGGTTTTGAATTTGTAATTGTTTTGCCTCAGCCTCCCTGGTGTTGGGATTACAGGATGTTCCTGGCGCCTCCACTTGCTTCTTCCCAGACTTTTTCCCCTCTTAATTTGCTCAAGAACTAACCTGTGGTGGCGCACCCCTGTAATCCCAGCATTCAGTAGGCTGAGGCAGGAGGATCACTGCAAGTTTGAGGCCAGCCTGAGCTACATAGTGAGACCCTGGAGAGAGAAAGGGAGGGAAGAAGGGAGGGAGAGAAAAGGAAAGAGACAGACAGACAGACAGCCACTTACAAAGCTGCACACATCTCGAGGCTCTTATCTCCACTTCCCCTTTCATTCTTGTGCTTTAATCCAGACTTCTGCCCCCAGCATGCCTTTGGAACCAGTCTTGCTGAGTCATTAGTGCATTCCCAGCTGTCGACTGAGTTGTTTTCCAGGCCTTATCTTCCTTGTTTTCTCCGACATTTGACATTTTGGCTTCTGTAGCATTCTTCTGTGCCTCCTTTCCCAGCCCTTTCTCCCACTCCTGTCAAGGGCTTCTCTTTTACCAGTCAGTGTGCTACTGTTGGTGATTTTCAAGGTCTATTCTTTGTCCTCTTATAAGAGCTATTATTTTGTTGGATTTTTACTATGTGCCAGTTGCCGATATTAAAATGCCTCACACAGATTATTCTTAAAACTGGCAATAACCCCCCAGAAGTAGACCGTTCTTTGGTATATGGAGAAATCAAGGTTTAGTGAGTTTAATTTTCCCCAAGGTTACACAGTTAGTGGCAGAGCCAGGACTTGCATCTGGGACTGGCTATATAGGTAAAGCCAGCCATTGCCAGTGGACCCAAGGGTCCAGCCATAGACTTTAGCTTGCAGCCTGTGTCTGTGTGTACTTTACCCGAATGTTTCTGCTTGCCCAACTCCTCCCCTCGCCCGCCCAGCCCCACATTGGTAACTGTGATCCAGCCTTGAGCTTGGGTTTGATCTCAGCTATGCTTCTCTTCCTCGTCCCCCACTCCACACTCCGCTGTCCCTTGTCCAGTCCTCTCCACTGCTCTTAATTTTTCTGGTCTTCATCTCTCAGGTTGGGCACAGTCACTTCCTCAGTCGGCTCCTCCCACCTCTCTCCTGAACTTTCTCTTCTACTTTCTCTTTCTACTGCTTTCTCTTGTACTCTCCCTCCCTCTCATCCTTCCATCCATCTCTTTCTGTTCTGGTTGTGCCATTTTCTGGGCTAAAATCCATCGGTGTTTCTTGATAGTGTAACTCCTGTGGCTGAGCCTCATTTTCCTTAGTCTTCTCTCCGGCCTCTGCAAGTCTCTGCTTCTGCCAGTGCTTGTGGTTCCCTAGACCAGCACACTCACTGAGCTCTGCATGTTCAGGTTCTTCCCTCTTCCAGGAATTCTCTTTCTTCCTGCTTTGTCTGAGGAGTGTCTTTAAGGCTCATCCAAGAATTAAGGAAGTAAGTAAGTAAATAAATAAATAAAAGTATCATTTCAGAGTGGTGCCTTGGCTTCTACGCCTTCACTTATTCCCAGCCTTTCATCGAGGAACTAGAGATTGCTTTTTACATTCCCAAAGCGCCTTGTTTGAAGCTCAGCACATTGTGTAATAGTTTATCCATGTCTGGCTCACCCTAACGACAGAAATTTCTTTCTCACATTTTAATATCACAGGGTATTGAGCATGTTGCCTGGGAGCAGCAGCAGCAGTGTTCCGTAGTGCCGTGATTGGGGACTGTGGTTGGGCCTGGACTGAGGTTAGGATTAATGATTTTGTGCAAGAATAGACCTTGAAAATCACCAACAGTAGCATACTGACTGGTAAAAGAGAAGCCCTTTAAAGCTAAAGACTATAATGGAAGAGTATGTAATACCTTGATATATAGTATCAAATAATTTATAAAGTACTTTTACAAATGTTCTCTTTCTCTCGCTGTCTCTGTCTCTGTCTCTTTCTCTTTCTCTCTCTCTCTGTCTTGGAGACAGGCTCTCACTATGTAACGCAGGCTGGCCTTGAACTTGGTTATGTAGCCCAGGCTGGCCTTGAACTCACGGTGATCTTCCAGGCTCAGCCTCCTGAGTGCTGGGATTACAGGTGTGCACCACACCTAACATTTTATCTCATTTTGTTATACTCCAAACCACTGTGAGCCAGACACAGTGACATAGGCTTATAGTTCTAACTATTTGAGAGGCTGAAGCAGGAAGGTAATAAGTTTGAGTCTTCCCTGGGCAGTTTAGTGAGAACCTGTCCCAAAATAAAAATGAAGGGTTGGGGCTGGATATGGTAGTATAGTCCTGTAATCCCAACATTCAGATGCAGATGCTGGAGGATTGCCATCTTCAAGGCCAGCCTGAAGTACACAGTTGAACCTGTTTCAAAAAAAAAAAAAAAAAAAAAAAGTCTGGGCATGGAGGCATGTGCTATAATCCCAGTACACGGGGAGGCTGAGGCAAGAAGATTACAAACTCAAGCTTAGTCTCAGGGGACTTGTGGTTTAGACCCTGCCTTAGTGTTAAGGCCCTGGGTTGAATCCCCAAGACTGCAAAACAGATAAATACATACATATATACTTTTTAAAAAATATAGTAAAACAATGAAAAGGGTTAAGGATATGTAGCTCAGTAAAACCTAAAGTTTCAGAAACTAAAATAACTTGCTTAAGGTCTTACACATTAATATAACTCAACAGAAGAATTATAGTGAACATAAGTGCCAGAATCCAGTCTTCTGTTGCCAAATCTGATGCTACTTCCACTGCACCCATATAGGTACAGGGAAGGTTTATGGGATGAGAGGCATAAAGATTAAGGGAAAGGAGCATCCCAGAAAAGGAAGTAACGTGCTCTGTGCTTTGATTTGTTGTGAAAGACAAGTTTTCAGAAGGAAGGCACATCGCTAATGGGGTACATTTTCATGTAGTCCAGGACGGTAGGAAGAGATGAAAGACTTTGGTCACCAGGCAGTTCAAAAGAATTTTATACAATGAAGCCAGTTTGCCCAGTGGCCAGGGAATACATGGGCATTGTGGGAAATGGTGGCCACATGTGGATTAACCTTTTAAGAGGTATGGTGCTGAAAGGAAGCAAAGAGGTTGGTACTTTAAAAAAAACCACACCTCCAGATAGTCTAAGAAATTCATGAAAGTTTTGTTATTGTAGTGTAGACTTAAAAATATACAGTGGAAACTCTGTAGGGAAATACTGTTTGATGGTTAACTATTTTAGACTTAATGTAACATTGGTCATTTCTCTTGTCTTTGTTTGTTTGTTTGTTTTTTAGGTTTTTTTGAGACAACGTCTTGTTATGCAGATCAGGCTGGCCTTGAGCTCACTTTGTAACCCAGGCTTCAAACTTGTAGCCGTCCTCCTGCTTTAGCCCCCTGAGTGCTAGGATCACAGATGTGCACCACCAGGCCTGGTGATATTGGTCATTTCTAATCAAGATAGAATATTAGAGGGCAAATGTTGAATCAGGCCTTAAATGGCAGAGCTGGGACTTTAATCCAAGCCTGACTTAAGATGTTATTTGAATACAGGTAGATATACTGGTATATGCTTACTGTTGGAGAGTAGATGTATTTCAGAGCCTGAAAACATCTTATATTTACTTAAAATAATCATCTACATATAACCTTATTTTTTCTCCTTAATCATTAGCATTATCTAGGTATGATTTAATCAACAAAAAGTTTTCTTGCTTTTTTTTTTGTCTTTTTCATTTTTATCGGTCCGGGAAGTTTTCTTGCTTTGCAGCTAGGATTGTTTTCTGTGTTAATAATGACCCTCACCCCTACCACCCTTTTTGAGACAGAGTTTCACTTTGACAGACTGGTCTCGAACTTGCTGTGTAGCTCAGGCTGACCTTAAAACTTGTGATCCCCCTACCCCAGCCCAAATGCTAGGATTATAGGCATGTGCCCCCATACCCCATATGAAAATGCCTAGCTAGGTGTGGTGGCACACACGTGTAATTCCAGAGCTTGGGAGGCTGAGGCAGGAGGACTGCAGTGAGTTCAGGGTGAGCATGGGCTACAAAGTGAGCTTAAGGCCAGTTGGAACTGCATAGTGAGACTCTGTCTCAAAAAGAAAAAAAAAAAAAAAAAGAAAGAAAAAAGAAAATGTCTATAATTCTAGCACTTGGAGAGACTGAGTCAAGAGGAATACAGTTTGGGTCAAGCATGTGCAGTCCACCAGGTGAGGTGGTGCACACCTGTAATCACACCATTCCAGAGACTGAGGCAGGAAGATCAGTATGTGTTCAAGGCCAGCCTGGGCTACATAGTGAGTTCGAGACCAGCCTAAAGTACATAGTAAGACCCTTTCTCAAAAATGGGAGAGGGGGGATTATTTATTGAGATCCAGAATAAAAAATGAAAAGGAGCATGCCTGTAATCTCAGCACTCTGGGAGGCTGAGGCAGAAAGATTGCAAGTTTGAGCCCATCTTGGGTGACTCAATGAGACCGTGTCTGGAAAATAAAAAACGGGTTAGGGATGTAGCTCACTGTGAAGGCCCTGAGTTTGGTCCCCGCGACTGCACATGTATATAGCTAGGGGTGTAGCTCAGTGGTAGAGCACCCTGAGTTGGAGCCCTAGCATGAGAAAACCAAACGACCAACTCATTTGTGATGTCTGCATCTCCTGAGAACTGAAGTCTTTTGTCCTATTGATGAGGTATTCTCTGTCCACCAGGTAAAACGGTACCAGTGCACCTTTGAGGGCTGTCCCCGAACCTATAGCACAGCAGGCAACCTGCGCACCCACCAGAAGACTCACCGAGGAGAGTACACCTTCGTCTGTAATCAGGAGGGCTGCGGCAAGGCCTTCCTCACCTCCTACAGCCTCAGGATCCATGTGCGAGTGCACACGAAAGAGAAGCCATTTGAGTGTGATGTGCAGGGCTGTGAAAAGGCGTTCAACACGCTGTACAGGTCAGCCTCGTCTTGGCTACCAGTCTCTGTGCCACCAGCCACTGATTCTGATGTTGCTGTGACCACAGAGCTCTTTCTCCTTGAGCAGGAGAGGTGTTCACTTTCAGGGCTTTAAAGTCACGAGCAAGGCTGGTTACTTATAGATGGATATATCTGGGGTTGGCTGGAATGATAGTGTATCTGTGTTCGGTTTTGAATCTCACGGAGTGACATACAGGTAGCTGAAGTAATACAATGTCTCCCCTTAGGACAGGATCTTTATACTAGGATCCTGTATTTTCTTTCCTACCTTCTCTGATACAATATTTTTCTACCCTTAGAAATGAGGAGCTGAAACCAGGGGTGGTGACCTGTTCCTGTAATCTCAGTACTTGGGAGGCTGAGGCAGGAAGGTTGCTGTGAGTTTGAGGCTAACCTGTACTCCATCATGAGTTCAAGGCTAGTCTGAACTACATAGAGACCCTGCTCCCACAAAAAAAAAAAAATTTTAAATTTTTTTTTTTTTTACGTCAGATGGGTAATGTGCCGATGTCGTGACAAGGCTCAAAGGAGGCACATGTCATGCATGGAGCATGAACACCCAGCCATCATGCTTGTGAACCTGAGGATCAAATTTAAAAATTTTTAAAAAGGAAAGAAAAAAAGGCACTGCCCACTTGATGGTTTTTTTCTTTTTCACATTTGTATTAGAGGATTTAGGTTAGTCTCTAAATATTTGGTGTAAAATAACAGAAATGACAACACTTGGAAGTATGATGACAGCTGATGAGTGAGTGGACGCAGAGAGGCTCTGTGACTGGTTGAGGGTCCCCATCCAGGAGGCTGTGCACCAGGACTCACATCTCTTTCAGTCTGTCTCTGGAGTCCTGCCCGGCACTCTGTGTCATTTACCTCTTTGAATTACCTTTTGGGTGCAACACGTGTACTCACATGGAGAGTATGGCATTCCTGCACACTTGATCCTGGAGCACGTGCAGCTGGCGCAGGCAGGCTCTGTAGTTCATTATCCCACTGGGCATTTCTCTGGGATATTTTGCAGACTGAAAGCACACCAGAGGCTTCACACAGGGAAGACATTTAACTGTGAATCTGAAGGCTGCAGCAAATACTTCACCACACTCAGTGATCTGAGGAAGCACATTCGAACCCACACAGGAGAAAAGCCATTTCGGTAGGTCCTGCTGTTTTCTATTTGTCCTCTATCAGTTTTCAGTTGGGTGTCTTGATGTTCTCTAGGAATGTATTACCTGAGCTGTAACCAGCTGCTTCCGGTGAGAGAAATGCAGTAGGTTCCAGGGCTATCCTCTCTGTGTGTGATGGCCTCTCAGCCTCTCCCCCACCCCTTTTTTGGTCTTTAGTGGGAATTGAACCCAGTGCCTTCACACTAAACTACATCCCCAGTTCTTTTTTTTAAATTTTACTTTCAGACAGAGTCTTGCTAAGTTGCTTAGGCCAACTTTGAGCTTGAGATCCTCCTTCCTGCCTTAGCCTCCTGGTAGCTGGGCATATGGGCATGCTCCACCATACCTGGAATTTTCTTTTATTCAAGAAGTATTTGTTAGGGGCCAGGGATATAGCACAGTGGCACAAGTGCTTGCCTGGCAAGTATAAGGTTATAAGTTACCTGGTACAAAAAAAAAAAAAGAAAAAAAGAAGTATTTGTTGAAACTTCAAAATGTGGTAGTTGTCTCCTCAAGAACCTTGACCTGAGTTGGGGATATAGCTCAGAGGCAAAAGCACCTGCCTGGCAAGCACAAGATCCTGACTTCGATTCCCAGTACCAAAACAAAACAAAACAAAACAAAACAAAAAGAACCTTGACCTGGTGGAAAAGAATTAAAGAAAATAGTAAGTAGGGGCTGGGGATTTAGCTCAGTGGCATAAGCACCTGCCGTGCAAGCAGGCGGTTGTGAGTTCGATCCCCGGTACCGGAAAAAATTAAAAAACAGAATAAGAAAGTAGTAGGCAGTAGACAGTAGACTGAGGCTGTGAGATGCTCAAAGTTCCTTGAGGACTGGAAGGGTCACTCACCAGAACTGAAGAGAGGCAGGGAGGGAGAGATAAAGGAAGTAAGAGGTGGGAACTGGTGGGTGATTGGCACAGGTATTGTCGTTACTGTCCAGGTGTTGCTTTACAGTGTCTCACGTGTACCCAAACAGGGTGATACATACATATACCTACATATTTAGTGTGTACACTTGAAGGCGAGACTTGTATGATCTGCTTTCCTCTCTGATCATAGAATGTTCAAGGCATTCAAGTAGGTGTTCAGAAACAGCTTTGGGATGGTTATTGACATTTTCTATGAAACAATCTGTTTGTAAGGATATCTCTAGATATAATACAAATATATTTTGAATTTTGGCAGGAGTTATTGCTGTTGTGTTCATGGCATTAAATATGGTGCCTATCCATTGTCAAATGACTGATTAGCATACTTAGAAGCAGTTTAAAAGTCTTAAAAGCAGTTAGGTTTTAGATACCAATTAAGTGAAATTAAGTTTTTGAATCATAGATACATTCCTGATTCATGGCCCTTTAAGGACAAGCGTAGTGTCTTGGTTACTTTTCTCTAATTGTTAAGACAAAATATCTGCTGCCAAAGTTAGGGAAGGAAAAGTTTACTTAGCTTATAGTTTTTGGAGATTTCTGTCCATACTTAGCTAGCTCCAAGGCAGGGTGGTGTGGCTAAGGGGCAGCCATTCATGGCAGCCACAAGGGACAAGAGCAAAAAGGGCAAAAAGAGGAGAAGCACGCCTCCTTCCCTCCCTTGTGTTATATGCAAACCGCCCCTGGATGGATGCAGTACTTACATCACCAACCCCACTAGACAATGAACCAATCACAAACGCTAGATTCAGCCATCTCTATGACTGCCTGAGGCTTTGGAGGGGCCATCTGATACAAAGCATAAGGCATAGTTACAGACTAGTTGGTTTCTGTGTGGTGCTCTGAAGCTTCAGTTATTTTACCTCATGGCAGCAAAGGCCCTCTGATTTCTATCGAGGCACATGTGTTTATTTTTGTGATGATTAAAACTGTTATTTTTTCTTGACTATTAGATGGGACCTTAGACTTATGATGATATGTAATTAAAATTCTATTTAAAGAAACTGTACTGTAGTTTATACTAAAATGGGTATGCTCACAAGTGTAAGTATTGAATGCCTGCTTTATGCAAGAGCTGAGCAGTTGTGAAGGGCCGCATGGTTCCTGCCTTCCCTCTAAGAGTTTACAGTCCAGGAGAACAGATAACAGAGGTCCACACAAAGACAAATTAAGATGGGAAATGAGAGCTGCCATATGAGAATTACATAGCTGTGTGCCTGGTTTCTAGGAGAGAAAGATTACTTCTAGTTTTGGTTATGGAGAAGTAAGAGAGGAAAAGGAGACCTGGACACTGAAGGTTACAGCGTTCCTGCTGATCTGTTCTGACAGTTCAAAGATTATAGTTCAAGCCCTGTGCACATGTGAGAGCCTCTTTACCTGCTCTTGGTATCTGTAGCGTTTCCCTGGCTGTAGATGCTCTGAGTGGACTCTCACTGTCAATGGAGCCCTGTTAAACAGTCAGAAGGCTTTTGTTAGCAGGGCTATGCACATACCCTTCTTGTCAGCCAAGGGATTCACTCCAAGCCCTCTGCTCCTTCAGCTCGTGGACATGCCACCATGTCTTGCTTCTTCAAGAACCGCCCGTCATTCCCATCTCTGAAACCAGTGTTGCCAGTCTGGCCTTGAGTTCTAAACGTTTGATGTAGTTGGCGTTTACAGGCAATATAGAAGGTGAAGGTTTCTTAGCCAATGACTCCCATTTCTCTTTGCTTAAACACCTTCTTTAGCTGTGATCACGATGGCTGTGGAAAAGCATTTGCAGCAAGCCACCACCTTAAAACTCACGTCCGCACACATACTGGTGAGTTCGGGCTGGTTTTTTGCTCTTCCTTTTAACCTTTATCAACCCTCTACCTGTGTTCCCCTGAGAACTGCAGAACTAGGTGGAAAGGCTGAGCCTAATCAACTTAGCCTTCACCTGTAATGTTTGAGTTTCTTTTAGAGATGAAAGGATCTAAGGGTTGGATTCAGGAATCTAATTAAGAAATGAAAACAATAGAGAAATACTCTTAAAAAAACAAGCTCGTCAGAAACTGAATTTTCTCCTTGAACTTTCTAAGAATAAAACAAAATCTTGCTAGGAACGGGCATTCTCATTGCTTTGCTCTGCACGAAGTTTCAGAGATAATTAATGTGTAATTTATTCAGCTTTTAACAACTGCTACGTTAGTCTTTGTTAAAATGTTTACCCTTAAGGAAAGATAGATTTCTTAATCCATTGAAATGAATTTATGGTGAAATTAACACTACTTTGTCATTTTTGCAGGTGAAAGACCCTTCTTCTGCCCCAGCAATGGCTGTGAGAAAACATTTAGCACTCAGTACAGTCTCAAAAGTCACATGAAAGGTCACGATAACAAGGGACACTCATACAACGCACTTCCACAACACAATGGATCAGAGGTGTGCAGTGTTCTTATCTGTTGTTTTGATCAGGGCACCACAGGACAGCAGTTGTTTGTGTCTCATAAGAAAGGTTTAAATGTCTTTACTATATTTCAACTAGAGGAGAAAATGAGGGTCAAGACCCCTGTTTTTGCATGAGAATAGCAGAAGCCAGAACTTTCACCTTTCTCCTGTGCCAAAGCCTGTACTTTAGCTCTCATTGCCATCAGGTGTGACAGAAGATGGTGCTCTAAATCCAGATGTCTCAGAAATGGCTTTCAGGGGCTGGGCTGGGCATGGTGGCACACACCTGTAATCCTAGCATTTGGGAAATTGAGGCAGGAGGATTGCAGCAAGTTTGAGGCCAGCCTGGGCTTTGTCTAGTGAGGTCAAAGCCAGTCTGAATTAAATAGTAAGACGATTTCTCCAAAAAAGCCTTCTAAAGGTCAGCTAGAAATTCTTAAGAGAGTGTCAGTGTCATTTATTCCAGTCATGCCTATAATTGGCAAATCTGTACTTGAGTTTGGGATATAGATTAATGTTTCACGTATCCATTAACTTGCTGTAGGAGATGCAAGTAAGGCCTGAAGGGACCTTGTTTTGGTAGCAGCACTGGTGTTTGAATGCAGGATCTTCACACTGAGCTATATCTTCAATCTTGTGGTTTTTATTTTGTTTTATTCTTTTTAAACACAGAGTTTTGCTAAATCACTAAATTGCTCCAGGTTGGGCTCAAACTTCTGATCTTTCTACCTCAGCTCCAAAAGTGCTGGGATTACAGATGTGTGCCACATACTTAGGTTGGTCCTTGTTCTTTTGAATTGTCTGTAAACCAGACGGTCTGAGAGCCACTGACTAAAGATACTGAGCCACAGAACAAGCTTCGGTGGAGCTGTAAGCAGTTTGGTTCTTTCCCTACCCCATCTGTATTTCTTGATCCCCTACCAGAGAGATCATCGCTCCATTCCAGAGAGATCTTGGAATCAATTTACTATTGTTACTTCTAATGCAGTATTGAGCCCCGGAAAGTGAGAACGACTGTTTTATTATCTTACTGCTTTATAGGTAAAGAAACTGAAGCTGATACAGTGAAGTGTGTTAGCTCTGATTTCAGAATAGATCCAGAATCTGATTACCTCTTCTAATTTCTGTGTTCAGCCACTGTTGTTTTTTGCTTGGATTATTGCCATCACTGACCAAGTGAGCTTCTTAGCTCCTCTCCCTCCTCTATCCTTTCTCCCCTAGCTCTGCTCCTTGTCATATCTGGGTGGAACTCTTTTCATTCCCCAATAGGGAGAAATTCCTCTAGGGTCAGGCCCCACATGCCGTTGGTGTTGAATCCATGGTGGTTTCTCTAGTTTGGACCTCCCCTATAAATGTGGACTTACATATCACTTATCCCTTTTGGAATACTGAAATTCTTTTTTTTTTTTTCATAGTATGTATGTATATATGTATTTATTTTTTGAGAACGGGTCTTGTCATGTACACCAGGCTGGCCTCAAACTAGTGGTGAGCCTCCTGCCTCTGTCTCTGCTTCCTCAGTGCTAGGATTACAGGCATGTGACACCATGCCCAACTTGAAGTTCTTGAAGTATGTAACATGATTCTGATTTTGGGAACAGTAACATACTCTTAATTCTTTGTTTGTTTGGTACTGGGAATTGAACTCAGGACTTGCTGCTTGCCAAGCAGATGCTGTGCCACTGAGCTATAGCTGTAGCCCTCTTAATTCTCTTTAAGAGAATGGTGTGTCGTTAAAAGGATCCCAATCCCCGAGTTTTATTAGCAATAATAGGTCAGTATTATTATTATCTCCATATTACTTATTAAGAAATTTGAGGCAAGGAGAAATTAAATAACTTGCGTAAGTGTCCAGAGCTTGTAATTAGTCTAATTTAGGTAGGCAGTGTGATTCCAAAGCCAGTTCTTACACCTGTGTTGTAAGGGATAGAATTGCATTCGTTATAAAGAGGCCAAAGCTCAGCTGTCTCAATGCAAAGCCAAACTCTATCACTAATCACATGACCTTTGGCAAGTAAGTTCCTTGTGCTCAGTTTCTTCATTTGTAAAAGCCAGGAGCCTGTCATAGTGGTGCATACCTGTAATCCCAGCACTTGGGAAATTGAGGCAGGAGGATCACCATGAGTTCTAGGCCAGCCTGGACTACAGAGTGAGTGCAAGGCCAGCCTAAACTATAGAGTTGAAACTGTCTCAAAAAAGAAAAAGATAAATTTAAAAGTTTGTGAGTCTGTCTGCTAAGCTATGTTTATGAAGTCGTAATCAATTTTCTCATTTTTTGTAGCAATCTGTGAATAATTTACCTACCAACAACCTTTGAGGACTGACGTACACCAGTGCTCACTCCACGGTCCTCCCCTTGTCTTATGCCCTCAGTGAGGAGATATGTTGAGTCTTGGGCTTCACATGTCCTTTGCTTGCCTTCATTCCCCAGGCAGGGTCTTCCGTTTGGCTCCAGACTTACACAGTCCACCACCTCCTCAATGTCCCCACCCAGAGAGTATCTCACCTTCTCTGACTTGACTTTATGTGTCCAAACATGTTCCTCCTGCAATTTTCTCAGCTTGGAAAGTGGAAGCCTGGTTTTTCTAGTAGCAGAGCCAAAAGTCTTACATCTAACCCTTTTTTCCCCTCATAGCACATGTACTAGCCAAACCTGACAGCTCGCCCTCAAGAATGTATCTAAAATTCGATCACTTTTCTGATTACTTCCCTCATTCTGCTTACTGTCTGTGGGCTGGATTATCGCAGTAGCCTGCTACACAGACTTGGCACCTTTCTTTCTCCTCTCCCTGACACCCTGGCCTGCTATAGACCATCCTACGTACATCACCCAGAGCGGTCTTTCTAAACCATAGTGCGGACACCTTGTCTGCTTACAACCCTCCAGAGGTTCTTGAATCATTTAAAGTAAACATCCAAATCTTTCTAGGGCTCCACGAGGTCCTAGGCTTTCTGGCCTGGCCATGTTTCCACTCCCTCACTTCTCTTTCATGAGAGAGCTGTATTGCTTTCTCATGGTCACTTGAACAAAGAAAGGTCTGCTTCTACCTCTGACCTTGTGTGCTGAGCCCTCTGTTTGCAACACTTTCCTCAGGTGCATACGTGGCCCTTACCCTCTTTTCTCCAGTTTCTGTTCAGATGCCCCTTACCTGTGAGATTTTCCCTAAATATCTAATAAAAGAAAACCCCTTGGGGTTGGGGATTTAGCTCAGCAGCATAAGCGCCTAACTTGCAAGTGTGCAGTTGTGAGTTCAATCCCCGGTACCAATTAAAAAAAAGAAAAACCCTTGCTGGGGGCAAGGGTGTGTGTGCTGTAGTTCAGCACTCAAGGAGGCTGAGGCAGGAGGGTTGCAAGTTTGAGCCCAGCCTGGGCAAGTTAACAAATGAAAATAAGAAAGGACTAGAGATATAACTCATTGTGAAGGTCTTAGGTTCAATCCCCAGTTACACGAAACAAAATACAAAAGCTACTATCCCAACATGCCCTATTTCTGTCACTCTTCATAACACTTAGCATTATTCTGCACACTGGATACCTGTTTTATCTTCACTACTATAGAAGCACACAGGGACAGAGAGTCTTTATGTTTGTGTTGTATCCCTGGATCCAGAACAGTTCCTGATACATAATAGATGCTCAGTGAATACACAGATGCTTCCTTATCTGCAGGGGATGTGTTCCAAGCTCCCTGGTGGATGCCAAAAGCTGTGGTAACAGCCAACCTGCGTTGCCATGTTTTTTTCCTATACTTACATACTTTTGTTAAAGTTTAACTTGTAAATTAGTCACAGTAAGAGACTGACAACAGTATAAAATAATAAAATTACCAAAATCATTACCCTTGTGCTTTGGGGCCATTATTGAGTAAGATAAGGTTTGCTCTAACACAAGGCCTGTAGCACTGTGGCAGTTGATCTGATGGCCCAGATAGCTACTGAGTGACTAATGTGGGTAGAATGTATAGCTTGGCCAGGAAGGTCAGTGTGGTGCAAGATTTCATTGCACTTCTCAGATTGATATGCAGTTTAAAGTTTAGGAATTGCTGGGCGTGGCGGCACATACCTGTAATCCCAGCACTCAGAGGCTGAGGCAGGAGGATCATTGAGTTCGAGGCCAACCTGCACTGCATAGTGAGATCTTGTCTCAAAAAACCAAAAGCTAATCAAACAAACAAACTCTTTGGAGTTATATCCTTCTGGAATTTAATATTTTCAGACCACAGTTGCCCCTGAGTAGCTGCAAATGTAGAAAACAGCACAGTGAATGTGGGGGCTATTGTATTTGTTGATTGTGTGTAGTAGTGGGAGATAGGCAGGGTCACTACCCCAGGTGTGTGAATTGTGATTGACATTCTAGGAGTCCAAAGTTCAGCATTATCCTCCTGCATAGCAGAATTTGAATAGTTAATCCTCAGTACCACTCTGAATCAGGAACCCTGAGGTGCCCATATTGAGGACACAGCGGACCTCAACAGAAGGACCATTGGTGTATTGATCAGAAGCAGTAGGTTTGTGAAGCACATAATTAGCTATGTGCTTGGCAGGGAGCACATCACTGTCACTGTCTTAGCATGGATTTTCTCACATTTCAGATGAGGTATAGAGTAATATTCCCAAGGTTTAGATGAATAACAGATGAGGCATGTGAAATCGCTTTATAAATGATGAAGCCAATTACACAAATATTATTACTTTCCTATTTTAGCATTTATTACACTGGAACCCAATAATTTAGAAGTTATTAACTATTAATTTTCAGAAATATGAGGCTCTAGGAATATGGTGGCACATACCTGTAATCTCAGCATTTGGGAGGACAAGGTAGTAGGATCATCATCAGTTTGAGGCCATTCTAGGCTGCATGGTGAGGTTAAAACTCACCTGAACTACATAGAAGACCCTGTTTGAAAACTAAAAAAAAAAAAAAACAAAAAATAAAAAACAAAAGCGAACACTGTCCTTAGCCCTTGCTTTGGATGGGTTATCTCTCTCCATGTAACATGTGCAAACATTTGGAACCTCAACTACACTGTAATCAAGTATAGTATTATGTAATGTACTATCCTGAATGCTGATTTCTAATTGTTTTTCTTTCACAGGATACAAATCACTCACTTTATCTGAGTGACTTGCATCTCCTGTCTACAGATTCTGAATTGGGAGAAAATTCCAATACAGTAAGTGTACCTGGGATATGGGTGTTAGAAAAATAGATGCGAGAACTGAGCACTCCTTTTGGTGGAACAATTGAGCAAGGCCAGTGTGAAGTCGTCTAGATTTAATTGTTTCATTGCTGACTATGTAGGGTTTTCCCACCTTCTCTTGATGAGAATACTACTATTCAGAAAAGTTGTTCTGACCTTTGTGTAATACATTTTGATCCAAGTCACTCACTTGACAGTCTCTTGGCCCCAGAAAGTTTCTTTTTTTATTCATTAACAAATATATATTGAGCACTGTTCAGGCCCTGTGCCAGGGCTGTGCTTACAGGGATGACAAAGAACGTGGGGTTTTCCTTGCAGAACTTTAAATCCAGGGGTATCCGATGTTGCCAGAATTCCAGTTTTGGGACCTTCTCTTACTCTCCCTGTCTGACCTGGTTGTCTTCTTTAAACCCACTTGACTAGGTTTTGGAGAGAATTTGTCTAGGTCTCTACTGAAAGCTAAGCCCACTCCATGTTGAACTCATTGTAGAAAACTGTTGTTTTCTATCCATTTGCATGTCTCCATGATGATAGAGATCACAGCATTGAATCTGAACTTGTGCAGCTTCTTTCGTACGATTTGAATGTTTTGCTGGGTTGCTAAAACTAATTGTGAGTTTGATATTTGCTGGCAAGGAAGTATAGCTGGATTTTTCCATCACTGTACACATAATGAGTAAATGCAACTGAAAGCATTTGAATAGAGACTGACTTAGGTATGCTGTGAAACAGCTACTGTTTCTTAAAGTTGCATTACTTGAGTCAGTTAGCACTTCTGAAAATGTAGGGCATTATGGGCCACAGCTGTAATCCCCGTACTTGGGAATACTGAAGCAGGAGGACTGCACATTTGAGCCTAGCCTGGGCAACTTGGAAAGATAGAAAATCCCTATCTCGAAATTTTTTTTAAAAATGGTAAGAGAGCAAAAGCACTGGGTTCAATCCACAGTACCAAAAGGAAGGGTTAGAGAAAAAGACAGAATCAGAACTAGGAGATCTTAGTTGGAGGCAGTGGCACGTGTCTGTGATCTTGCTACTCAGGAGGATCAGTGGAGCCCAGGAATTCCAGGTCAGGCTTGGCAACACAGTGAAACTCCATCTAAAAAAAATTTTTTTTTAAATTTTAAAGTCAAATAAATAAAAATGCTGGTTCTTCTGGAAACGGAAAGCACCTGAAGCCCTGGCAGCTTCTCCTTTTAGTAATGGCAGAGTTGCGCTTATGAGACCAACTCTCCCTCCAAAGACAGCTTCAAACATTGCATGGAATATAAAAAAGAATTATGTGAATGCACCAGTGAAGTAACAGCAAAGAGAAGTAGCCTTGGAAGATGAGGTCTCTTAGAAGATCATAAAAGGCCTGGGTGACCTTGCAAGCTTTGGGCAAGCTCCATTTGGCACCGGGGAGATGACCAGACTCAGAGAAAACTCAAATTTTGTTGATTTGAAAAACTAAAGGCAGAATTCAGGGTGACCATGGTACCTGGAAACCCAAGGGGAATGGCCTAGGAAAGAAAGAGCTGTGAACGGGAAGCCTCACGTTCTGTATGTAAACTGTTCACATCTCTGGCTTACCAGCGAATTATGGATGTACAGGACAGACTAGGCAGCTCAGCTAAGACCAACAAACTAAACAGAGATCACAGCCGCTGTCTACTGCAACAGAGCCAGAATTAACGGAATGTTCAAGTCAGATAAGTAAACACTCTTCTGGCCCAGAGATTTAGCTCTGTGGCAAAGCGCCTGTCTGCCAAGCACAGAGCCCTGAGTTCAATCTCTGGTACCAAAACAAAACCAAAACAGAACAGTCTTCCAAGAAGTATAACTGAATCCACGGTCTGTCTAAAACATGACTCCTCTTCAACAGAAAAGGTAATCCATGGAGATCTACCTCAAAATGACCCATCTGGATGTTCAAATTCACAAAGATTTTTAGTGGTTACTATGCGCACAAGGACATAAAGAAACTGGGTGTGGCTGTTGAAGCCTGTAACCCTAAAACTCTGGAGACTCAGTTCAAGGCCAGCCTAGGCTACGTAGTGCGTTCAAGGTGCTTGCTTCCACAGCACATATACATTGTGAGTTCAAGGCCAGCCTAACTTACATAGTGAGACCCTTCTCAAAAAATATACTGTACGGGGCTGGGGATTTAGCTCAGTGACATAAGCGCCTGCCTTCCAAGCAGGCAGTTGTGAGTTCGATCCCTGGTACTGATAAAAACCAAAAAGACCAAAAAAAGAAAAAAAAAAAAAAAAAAAATATATATATATATATATATATATACTGTACAAAAGAAAAAGGGAAGGAAGATGGAAGGAAGGAGGGAAAAAAAGGAAGGAAGGAGAGGGAAAATAAATACACACACACATACTGTATACCATCTCAGTCAAAATGGCATTTATGTATGGACACGCAGGACCTAGAGGGACACATCCAACTAAACTGCTTATGACTGTGAATGACTTTGTTCTTTGCTTTTTGTGTTTTTTTTCCTTGTATGCACATAGTAATTTTTTTAAAATGAAGATTGTCTTTAGAACTCAAAAACCAAAAAGTAAAAGAACATAAAAGAATATGTTTGAACAAAGAAATGATTGAACAACTAGGAAATCTGAGAGAAATAAAAGCTATAAAAATGAACCAAGTGGAAATTTTAAAACTGAAAAATATGTAAGAAATTAAATGGATAGATGGAACAGCAGGTCAAAAATGACAGCAGCCAAACTGTTAAGCTGAAGTTATCAATTTGAAGAACAAAGAGAAAAACACTAACTACTTTATGTGATTTTTATTTGTATTCACTTTCCTTTTCTTTCTTTTTTTTTTTTTTCACTTTCCTTTTTCTTTCTTTCTTTCTTTTTTTTTTAGTCTTTTGAGACGGGGTCTCACTATGCAGTTCAGGGTGGTCTTGAGTTCATTTTGTAGCCCAGGCTGGTTTCGAATTTGCAATAATCCTCCTGCCTCAGGCTCCTGAGTGCTGGGTTATAGGCATGCACAACCATACCCAGCTGTATTCACATTTGAAAACCAGTTTTTTTTTTTTTTGAGACAATGTCTTGCTGTGTAGTCTAGCTGACCTTGAACTCCACAGCTATCCTGCTTCAGCCTCCCCAATGTTGGGATTACACATATATGCCACCGTACTCAGCACCACAGAACTAATTTCTAAAAGAAGTTTACTTACTGGGTGGCCTAGAAGCCCTTTGACTTACGTCACCTAAGATTCTGAGTAGAGTGTTCCTTTATGACTGAACTGTATGAAATGTCTTAGGAATCTACTTTGGCCAGGACTATGATAAATGACGGAGGAGCCTTTATTTTTTTTCCTTTTTCTTGAAATAAGGACTCACTATATAGTTCAGGCTGGCCTTGAATTTATGTCAGTCTTCCTGTTTCAGTCTCCCAAATACTGGAATTGCAAGTGCACCACCATGCCTGGCTGATTAGTAAACTTTTTGGAGCCCTAGATTCACCGGAGATAACTGGTTTACAAATATATTGAGAGGGCCAGGGATTTAGCTCAGTGGCTCAAGCGTTTGCACAAAGTCATGACTTCACTCCCCAGAAAAAAAAAAAAAATGTATGTGTGTGTGTGTGTGTGTGTGTATGTATGTATGTGTATATATATATATATATATATATATATAGAGAGAGAGAGAGAGAGAGAGAGAGAGAGAGAGAGAGAGAGAGACAGAGAAACACTAACATGTAAAAAGCTGGGCATGTTGACACACACCTATAATCCCAGCACTCAGGAGGCCGGAGGATCTTTGTACATTTGAGGTTACCATGAACTACATCACACAGCCATATCTCAAACAAAACAAAACAAAAAGAACAAGAAAAAGAGACCACTTCTGTCATAGTTTGCATCAAAAGAGAATGGCCCTATCCTTTTGCTTTTTTTTTTTTCTGTCTTTTTTGAGACAGGGTCTCAGTATATATTTCAGGCTGGCCTGGAGCTTACTTGGTAGCCCAGCCTAGCCTCAGACTTGTATCACTCCTCCTCCTGCCTCAGCCTCCCGAGTGCTGGCATTACAAGTGTGTGCCACCACATCCAGCCACTTTTGCTTTGTTTTTTAAAAATTGAGACTCGCTAAAACTGAACAGTAAATTTATATGAGATCATCCCTTTCTGAGTTTTTGAACTACCACATGTGTATGCCCATCTTTGAAATGAACTCTAGTTTGCTCAGACCTTTTTTTAAAGGAGGTAGGTATACCGAGGGAAGGGCCCACTGGGTCTTCTGGTTGCTCCAGGATCCATCCTGGCCTGACAGCTCCCTATGTTCTTCCTGTTCTTTGCGCTTTGCTTCAGGCCCCAAGGCACAACCTGTTCTGCTTTAGTTCTCTGAAGAGAGGTTCCCTCTCATTCTGCCCTGAGTTTGCCCTGAAGCCTGGTGGTGGCTTCAGTGCGTGCCTGCTTTCTTGCTTACTCTTTTCTTTTCTTCTTTCTTTCTTTTTCTTTCTTTCTTTCTTTTCTTTTCTCTTTTCTTTTCTTTTTTCTTTTCTTTTCTTTTCTTTTCTTTTCTTTTCTTTTCTTTTCTTTCTGCTTCATGACACATATCTGTAATCCCGCCTACTCAGGAGACTGTGGTAGAAGGATGGCAGGTTCTAGCCCAGCCCAAGTAACCTAAGGAAACCCTGTCTCAAAAAGGACTGAGGGGGAAGACTCTGGGCTCAGTGTCTAGTATGGGAAACAAAAAACTTTTTAAAATTAAAGTGAGTATGCAAATGGAAAGAACAGTGTAAACATGCAACTTAAAGAATCCTCACAATCCATCACACCTCTGTAACCAGTACCAAGATCATCAAGAGTGTTTCTACCAATCCTATGGCCCCTTTTTGTCTCCCTAGGGCTGTCCTTGTAACAACTAAATCCCAGTTTTCCTGTTCTTGTGCTTTTGTCATTGAGATCATATACTTTTTCATCTGTAGTAGTATTTTGTTGCAAAATTATGTTTAAGAAATCTATCCATATTGTTGATGTAGTTACAGATCATTCCTTCTGATTTTTGCAAAGTGAGCCAAAGATACAAGTTTGCATTTAGGCAAAGTCTGGCCTGAAAATAAGTTTTTGTTTAGTCTAAGTGCTGCTCTTAGATTATTTTCATTGTTTTTATTTACAAATTGGTAGATTTCACATAAAAATCCAGATCTCAGCCCGTCCCTTGAGCTCTGGTGACCCATGGCCTGCTTAGTTCCAGGCAGCGTTCAGCCAGAGGTATGGAGAAGCCTGGCACCGTGTGCTCCGGCTGCCCCTGCCCTGCCCATGCTTCCTCATGCTGTCGCTTGCCTGCACTTGGTGCCTTCGTTTGTCTTGCCCCGTAGACTGCTGCAGTGGAAGTGGACTCTGGATAAAGGGACTGCAGTTTTCCCTTCCCTTCCCTAAAATGGAAGAGTGGTCATTTTATTTAGTGCCTATCAGTAGTTAGGTCCTGAGGCATCATGTGGGGTCCCTGCCTTTTTTTTAAATGCCTCTTGACTTTTTATTAAGTCCAAGACTATTCTTGTTCCTTGTCATTGTAAGTTTCTTTGATTTGTTTGACTTCTTACCATGTGTACATATTAGAATATCACAGACCAGGCATGGTGGTGCATGCCTATAGTCCCACCTTCTTGAGAGGCTGAGAGAGGAAAGAGGCTGAGACAGGAGGATGGCAAGTGTAAGCCCAGCCTAGGTAACTTGGCAAGGTTCTGTCTTAAAGTAAAAATATAAAAAGGGCTGGGGGTGTTCAATCCCTGAAAAAAAATCACAGATAGTATATAATGACCTTGAAAAACATTCATAATCTGTTCTTATTACATGAGAAAATCAAACTGCAGGTTAATTATCTTAGTCCTTTTTTTCCCCCCTAATACCACAGCCTAAGATTTGGCTCATTGATTCTATAGGTTCAAGGTCTAGGGGCTACCTGTGTTGATGCCTTCGCTGGCAGTCCAGAGGTAGTGCATGCACCATGTGACAAAAGACAGGAAGTTTGAGCGAGTATATTCTGGTCTGTTTCCTTCTACATGTGTGTGTTTTGGGGGGTCATGTGGTCCTGGGGACTGACCCTAGGGGCACTCTTCCACCTAGCTACACTCTCAGACTCCACACATCCTTATAACCTTTTTTGTTTTGAGATAAGATCTTGCTAAACTGCCTGGGCCAGCCTGGAATACTTACTGCCCCTGCCTCTGTCTGCAGAGAGCTGGGATTGCAGGTATTGCGCTGCCAGGGTGAACTTCTTTGTTTCTTATCGTCTATGGCCATACCACCCTGAGTGCCTGAGGTCGTCTTTCCCTCTTGTTACCAAGCACTAGTGTTCAGTGTACTCCAATGACCTTGTCTAATTATGATCACCTCTAAACACCATGGTCAGGTTAAGTTTTTGCCCTTTTAACACTTCACAGTTGGGACTAAATTCCATCATGAGTTGCAAAAGGGACTAACTGTACCCATAATGAGTATTATACAATTATACTTTTATGTGGGATTTGGTTTTGTAAAACAGGGGTTGGCAAGCTTTTCTGGTAAAGGACCAGATACTAAATATTTTAGGCTTGGTGGGTCACATGGTCTCTGTTACAAATTCTTAACATCTCAGGTCATTTTGAAACAGGAGAAGGTAGAAACAGGAAGCATATCACAAGATCATTCTAGTTCCACTACACTAACTATATTTTCTAATGGTGAGGAATTATCTCAGGATGGCAGGTCTCACATCTCTGTCTCTCTGTCCATCAGACACAGGGCCAGGACCTCAGCACAATTTCACCAGCAATCATCTTTGAATCAATGTTCCAGGATTCAGATGACACAGCAATTCAGGAAGATCCTCAGCAGACAGGTTTGTTATACTTTCTTCTTGTTCATGTCACAGCTGGAAAGGAAATTCACACTTGAAAAGTTCATGATAGGCAAAGAGAAATACTTCAGTTAGCTTAAATGAAGCAGGCTTTCTACGAAGGTTCTGAAAAATGAGCCTTTAGTTCAAGTCCATCTTTTCCCCGACTTCCCTCAGCTCCTAAACCAGAGGGTCTTCTTTCTCAATCTCTCTGTGGCCTCAGAAGATGGGAGGAGCTGTAAGCTTTTCCTTCTGCTGTGATTCCTTGTTCATGAATGGATAGGACCCACAGCCAAGCTTCAGATGCAAAGATCAGACTGTGTTTGAATGGAACTCTGTGTTCAGTAGTTCTGTCAAAAAGAAAACCGAAAGGGAGGTTTCCGAAGAGCCTGAGGGCATGCTGTTTCGCGGTGAGACCTTTGCTGGGTTGTCACACCTGGGAAGTGCATTACCCAGCAGGCCGGCACTGTGCTACTGAAAGGAGCTTACAGCCACCCTGCGTGCAGAGGAGTTGGCTCTGACGCACTATAGTGTTCTTATGTACCTGTAGTGCATGTTGTTGTGGGATGTATATGAGGCTTGGGATATGTATATATATTTCTATTTTTTTTCCTTACCAGCTGCCTTGATTGAAAGTTTTAACGATGACGCAGAGTCGGTCAGTGATGTCCCACCACCCACAAGAAATTCAGCATCTTTATCTCTCCCGCTTGTACTGCAGCCTGGCATCTCCAAGCCACCCCAGCCTCTGCAACCAGCCTCAGCTCCGTCTGCTCCTCCGCCTGCTCCCTCCCTAGGACCTGGTTCTCAGCAAGCTACATTTGGCAACCCCCCTGCTCTCTTAAAACCTCCGGAAGTGCCTGTTCTCCGTAGCACGCAGTTTGCTGCTAGTCATCAAGAGTTTCTTCCGCACCCCCAGACACCACAGCCCATTGCACCAGGACTTTCTGTTGTTGCTGGGGCTTCTGCATCGGCAGCAGCGGTGGCATCGGCCGTGGCAGCACCAGCCCCACCACAAAGTACTACTGATCCCCTGCCAGCTATGGTCCAGACGCTGCCGCTGGGTGCCAACTCTGTCCTAACTAACAATCCCACCATAACCATCACCCCAACTCCCAACACGGCTATCCTGGGGTCCGGCTTAGTCATGGGAGAACAGAACTTACAGTGGATATTAAATGGTGCCACCAGTTCACCACAAAACCAAGAACAAACTGTAAGTATTACATACAAAGTGGGATGACGTATACTTACCATGGGGGCCATGATCAGAGGATTTCATTTCAAATAGAAAATGACTAGCATACCTACGAAACCTGTGATTCTCTCTCAGGGTCATTTTTTCCATGAGTGGTGTGAATGCAAGGAATGCTAAGGTCAGTACCTGTGAGAAGGAGGCAGAGAAACCACCTTTATGTTCACTTAGCAGTAAATGCTTGAAGGAGTATTTTCTCTGCCATCTCACACTTCATCTACTGTGGGAACACAGTTGCCAACTCCAGAGGCCGTAGCGTATTTAGGAAAGCAGGTTGCTCTCCAGAGTCAGACAAATGCAAGGGACTGGTGTGACCCAGCCTGACGGGGCCTGGTGGCGGAGGCCACACCAGAGGAGGAGTCTGTGCCTCCCCCAGCTTGCTCTCGGGGCTTTGTTTTTCCCTTCCCCTCCCTCCCTTCCCGTCCCCTCCCCTCCCTTCCTCTCTCCTCCTTCCCATCCCTTCCTTCTGTACCTCGGATTGAACCCAGAGAGTGCTGAACTATATCCCAAGCCCTTTTTATATTTTTATTCTGCAACAGGACCTCCCTAAGTTGACCATGCTGGCATCAAGTTTATGATCCTCTTGCCTCTCACCTAAGTGGCTGGGATTAGTTATACTCTACCATGCCCAGTACATTATTTTAAAACTATATAATTTTTAGATTTAATCGAACAGATAAACCCTTCACCTTCACACATAATTCCGCTTCTTTTTTTTTTTTTTTTATCATTGTTTTATGGGTTTTTTTTTTTTTTTTTTTTTTTTTTGAGTTAGGATCTCACTATGTAGTCCAGGCTGCCCTGGAACTTACTGTGTAGCTCAAGCAAATGTCTAACTCAAGTTCTCCCGAGTGCTATGTGTGCACCACCATGCCCAGCTCAGATTCCATCACCATCATTATTTTAGTTTTGATGCTGAAGATTCAACCCAGCACCAAAACTATGTGTCATGTGTCACATGTCCCTGTCACTGGGGCCATACAGAGAAGCAAGATGTTCTACCCTGACGTGCACCCCTGCCCTTCCCTTTATTAATATTTCAGTGTGGTACTTTTGTTATAACCAACATCAGTATGCTTATTATCTTTTTTTTTTTTTTTTGGTCTTTTTCATTTTTATCAGTACCAGGGATCGAACTCACGACTGCCTGCTTGCAAGGCAGGCGCTTATGCCGCTGAGCTAAATACCCAGCTTATTATCTAAAGTTCACAGTTTAGGATTCATTCTTTGTGTTGTACATACATGCTGGTGGTTTTGACAAATACATATTTTAAATCCACCTTTAAAGTATACAAATAGATTTGCCATGTGCTGCTCTGATTCCTCTTCCCTTTGTCCCTTTCTCTTTTTCTCTATGTCTGTGTCTTTCTAATATCATACACTGGATTAATTGAACTCTTCTTAACACATACAACAGTTATAGCAGATACGTATGCTTTTACTGATGGAGGGTTGAGATCCAGAGAGGTTAAATGACCAGCCCAGGGTCACACAGCTCATAGAAGGCAGAGCCTTAGCAGACTGACTCATAGCCTGGGCTGTTGGCTATTGCCTCATGCTGCCAGAGGAGGGATTTGGACTCTAGTGGCCTTGTGTGGCCATGCAGATCAGAACTGCCTTGAATTGTGGGTAGGAATTAGGTGGAGGAAAGGGTTTATGGGTAGAATTTGTGGGTAGATATAAGCAATCTGGAAAGGCAGTTTAGTGTGTACATATAATAAAACACTGAAATGCCAGAAGTGGAGTCCTGGCTCTCAAAGAGGGGCCTGTCTCACTCCAGATGTCCAGAATCATTGGAATGGCCTCTCTAGTCTTGTGACCTTGTCTGCCTGCATGGAGTAGTTATCGTTCTGTCTGGATGCACTCTGGGGAGCTGCATGAAACACGTCATCCTTTTTTCCACATACTCTTAATTCCTTTTCATGTTATTAAATGAGTCTCATGTCTCCTTCATTGTTTTATAGTGTCATCTCCTGTAATTTAGCCACAAGCTTTTACTTCCTCCCATGCTCATTTATAGCACTTTAACAAAAGAGGGTGGGAATAAAAGATAAAGTACATTTAAGATAAGATATGAAAAGCTGGACATGGTAGGCATGCCTGTAATCCTGTAATCCCAGCACTTGAGGCTGAGGCAAAAAGAGGATTGTCTTGAGTTTGAGATTAGCCTGGACTGCACAGTGAGACCCTGTCTCAAAAAAAAAAAGACTTCAAGCCAGGCTTGGTGGCATTTGCCTGTGATCATAGCACTCCAGGAGACTGAGGCCAGAGGGTCACATCAAAGGACTAGAGATATAGCTCAGTGTGAAGACCCCTGGTTCAATCCCCAGTACCACAAAAATATATAGATAAAGAAAGAAAGACTTGAAAGCAGAAGCCATTTCACCAGCTTAATAGAAGGATAAAGGTGACACGTGGGCATACTTTTGTAGTCCTTCATAGTCACAGTACAAGTCACTGTTTCCTTATGAACCCAGTGTCTCCATGCATCACCTCGTTTAATCCTCAGAGTCCTCCAGAGGCGCTTCATTGTCATCCCCATTGACAGGACACAGACTTTTTAGGAGGTCAGATCCCTTGTCTGACAACAACTAATAAGTAACAGAGCTTAGACTCGAATGGGTGGCTGTGTCCACCTGGAGCCATCGTATGCAGCTCACAGTACTGCCAGGACTTTCCTGGACTAAGAGGAAGCCTTGCTGTCCTTAGTGGGCAGCCGAACCCCTTGGAGGAAGGAAAGAATCTCCCACCTTGACTGAAGACATGGCAGGGGGGCTGGGGAGGTATCCTTCAGGGAAGGGCAGCCCTGGGCTCCGGCTGAGGAGCCAGCAGCTTGAGCAAAGTGACCTGGGAGAGCCTCTGGATCCACAGAACTCATGGCTCGGGCAGCTGGGTGCTGGCTAGGCAGTGGGGCGCGGAGCTGGCTACACTGTCAGTGTGGAATGTCAAACAGGGCAGTGACCTCGTGTCGGAGCACAAACAAAACATCGCTCAGTGCAGCACTCCCTGAACACTGAGGGCTCTCTGTCCGCTTGGGGACCATTTCAAGTCGGGAGGCCTCAGGTCCTTGGATAGCTGCCATATTCAAGTGGCCATAAGTGTGATTTCTTCTTTTTCCCAGCAGCAAGCATCGAAAGTTGAGAAGGTGTTTTTTACCACTGCAGTACCAGTAGCCAGTAGCACAGGTATGTAATTCCATGTTGGCTTTGAGGCTGAGTAAATTCTTTAAAGTTTTTAACCCTTAAAAAATGTTTCTTCAGCCTATTGAAATTCACATCATATTGTTCATTAGGGTTTGTTCATGCTCTCACAACTACTGGAAGTTAACAAGACCATGGGCAACTTTCTTTCCCTAGTAATAGTTCTTTCCTTTCAAATACAGTGTTTCTGTGTAGCCAGAAAAGGTCTGAATTACAGTTCATGCTAAAGAGGGCATTGTTAATTTACTGGACTCTTCTAATTACAGTGAGGAAGAAATAGCATCTGGGCCAGATCATACAGACCTGGAAAGTCCTTTTATTTCAGATTCTTTCCTTTATAGATTAAGAAACTATAAAGTGGTACATGCCTGTAATCTTAGAACTCTGGGACGATGAGGCAGGAGGATTACAACTTTGAGCCCTACTTGGGCAATTTAGTGACTTACGAAGATCCTCTCTCAAAAAAATAATAAACCAATACCCAAAAAGATAAAACGACTCCCTAAGGCCATAAGTGAACATGCAGGAGAGCCCGAGCAGTAGCTCTTGATTTTCCCATTCCCAGCCTGCTTGCCTGCATAGAGCCTGGCTGCGTTCAGAGCACCCATGTGCACAACACACGTGGCAGGGGCAGGGAGAAAGGAGTCAGTTAAAACACCTACCATCTCCACATGTATCAGCAACTGGGACCACACGGAGGAACAAGATGTTCTCGGGATCAGAGTCTTGGCGGCCAGGTGCAGCATAGACAGGGCCATAGAGGGAAGGCAGCAGTGCTTGCATGTGGGCCTGGCAGCTGCTGGCTTCCCCTGGGCTAGCCCTCTGTGCAGCCCTCAGGGAAACGGCCTGGGGCAGCAGGAGTGCCAGCTGGGTGTTGGAAAGGGAGTATAAGTTCTCCAGAAGAACAGTGGTTTGGGGGGCCTCAGGCCAGAGAAAGTGCCCAGAGCCTCAGAGGTATGAAGAAGGTGTCAGGGAAAAGGCAAAGAGTCTGCTGTGGTTGGCATGGAAGCACAGCAAAGAAAGACCAGGTGGATCTATACTGTGTGCTTGGCTTGCAAAGGGGGAGTCTGTTTTGGAGAGATGGGAAGTGGTACAGGCCTTTTCCCTGAGGAGGAACTTGGTCCAGTTTAAAGAGGAACAAAGCCCAGCAGGTAGCATCCATTCTTCCCACCATTCCTGTCTCCCCAGCACCCAGTCCTCACCTGTCCATATGCCCCTACCCCTTACGCCTCTGCCTGTGGCTGCCTGAAGAGCAGTATCTCTTGCCTCTCTCGCAGGGAGCTCTGTCCAGCAGATTGGCCTCAGTGTTCCTGTGATCATCATCAAACAAGAGGAGGCATGTCAGTGTCAGTGTGCATGCCGGGACTCTGCCAAGTAGTGGGCAGCTGGTGGAGAAAGGGCTGTTCTTCCCCACCCCCTCCAGAGCCAAGCCCCCGCCTGCTGGTGGGCCCAGCCTGCAGCTATCACCCTAGACTTTGTCCTAACCCCTAGTTCTTTGTCATCATCCTCTACTGGACCCTCTTCCTGTGGGCAAAGCAGACAGGCCGAGGCTCCTTCAGACCCTCAGATGGAAACGTTAAGTGCCATGGATGTGTCTGAGCTCCTGCCCTGCAGAGCCTGGACACCCCATCCTGATTCCCACTGAAGCACTGCTGCAGGGCTAGGAGAAGATGGGCACAAGGCAGCTTCTGCAAGTGAAGGGCCTTTGCATGCTCATCTACAGGAAGAGGGCAAGCAGGAAGCAGGAGGTGCGATGCCTGCCATCATGGGGTCAGAAATTGGAAGGATGAAGAAATCTGCTGTTTGAAAGCCTCACCTTTCAGACGTATTTTCTTTATTCATATCCCAGGAACATCCATTTTAAGGAACTGATCTTTGGAAAAAAACAAAAAACAACAAAAAAAAGCTAAGTTATAAATGAACTGTTTGGCTGCACTGTATGTCACTTTTGCTTATTGTCATATGAATTTGGAAATTAAGGTTACTCGTATGCATAAAAATTCTAAACGAAAGGGTGTGGTTGCCATCAATCTAGTACTGCCCATCATTTGCACTGGAGTCTTTGTGGACTGGGTAGGAGAGGTCAGGGTTGTGTTCCTCCCTGTGTGTCTTTTTAATCTGAGGCTGACTCTTAACCGAAGGCCAGGCTCTCACTCCCTCAAAGTGGGCAGTGTGACGGCAGGTGAGACAGCTGTGAGTTGGACAGGGTTTAGGTGAGATGGCTTTGCTGTTTGTACTTGGTGTTGGTAGGGCTCAGGGTGGATCTGCAGGCTGTCCTGCAAGCCCATCCGCACAGACTCTTGGCACTCGAAGCCTGGTCCGCCAGCCGTCGGATGTTCTGGCTCTGTGGGAACCTAGGCAGGTTGTTGACTGCTGTGTGTTGGTGGTATGTGTACAGAGCAGCTCGGCACAGTGATGGTGGACCTGTAAAGGTTTCAGTAACAACAAACAGCTGGCTACAGCACATGTGGCACATGTGGCACAGGTTCACCACCGCTGCTTTTGCAGCATAGTAACAGCCTTTGCCTCTCCACCTCTCAACTGCTTGCTGGAGCTTGCAGGTCACAGTGAGTTTTCCTTGAGGAGCATCCTATTTTGTCCTAGAGTGAATGTGTTGCCAGTTGGCAGCCGGTGGTTGCCTTCCTTTGAATGCTGTTTTCTTCAGAGCAGAAGGGTTACATCTTGCTTCTTAGTAGAAGGTGCAGATTGAAGGGAGCTCGAAGGAGGTGGTGGGTAATTGGTAGGCCAGATGTTCTGGTTCTAGGTTCTAGCCAGGCTTTTGGTTGCCCTTTTCTATCTCCACCTCTCTGGATTTTGCATACAGCCTAGTACAGTGCAAACAAGAATGTGACTTGCTCAGCTTAGTTATGTGATTTCTAAACAAAACAACAAAAAAACAAAAAAACGATGATCTTCTACTCAGGGTAAAACAAAATAAAAAATTCCCCTTCCACCAAAAAGCCTGAAATGTTGCAATAAGTTGTCTCATTTGGAATGTTTCATTAAGTTGTGTTATAGGAAAATTTGTGTGTGCGTGTGTGAGTGTGTTTGTATGTGTGTGTAGAATTATATCCATCTGTCTGCCTTGGCTCCCAGTCATTGCCTCTTAAAACATAAAATACAGTGCACACTAGAATGGAAAGTTTCCCTCACCTGGCTGTTTAATGTAGTCATGAATGCCTACCAAGCTCAGAAAGTAGGCATGGCCCAGAGTGTGGGATAGAATGCTTTCCCTGCCTCCGGGTTCCATAAAGGAGGCAGTGGGAGCCAGCCAGTGAGAGATCTGTACTGATCACTCCTGCTCTGAGCTTACCTTGGAGGCAGATCACTTACCTTGGAGCCAGAGACCCTGCCTTTAGCAAGAATGTAGAGACGAACTTGGACAAGAGGGTAGTTGTGGTAATGCTGTTACTGCCAGGCAGAGAAATGGGCTTAACTGCAAGCAGCTGATTTCTCATTCTAGAAGTTTATTCAGGAGAATTAATTTCTATTTAAACTTCTGTACTCTTTATCCCTAAAGGCTGGTAGTTTTTGGCAACCACTGACCTCAGCAGAAGTGGATAAGGCTGGAAGAATCTTCTCCCACCAAATGCAAGTGGAGGTTGTCCTGGCTTTCTGTAGACCTTTCGGCAGTAGGAAGCTTTGAACCTGGATGTGAAAGCAGTGGGTGGGACCCCAAAGTTAGCTTGTGGCAGATGGTAGTTAGGACCTTCCCATATGCCCACATGAGGAAGAAGTAGGGTCCCAGAGGACAGGGGAAGTATCTGTGGCTTACCTGTTGCTTCTTGGCCAGCCAGGGCTGTCCTTATGTTGAGTCCTGCCCAGGTCACTCTCCACAGATTGAGGGTGGTAAAGGTACATTTAGCAGTATTGAGACTGCTAGATTTTTCTAATTGAAGAAGTTGAAATATCTGCCTTTTGTGGGTGGTTTGGATTACAAAAGACTATCAGATCTGATCACTTTTGGTAAATCAGGAATGTTTCAAATGCTTATGCAGTGTAGGTTTACGCCACAGGGTAGGTAGATCTTCCTTCCCTCCCTTCCTGTGCTCCTTCCCTTCCCATCCTCTCCCACAACCTTGGTCTCCAGTGTCAAGGACCTCAGATAAGAGAGGTTTTGTGGCTGCACTGGAGGTAGAAAGGACCTTCATGAAGAGGGTGGTTTTCCAAACCTGGAAATGAAGCCGGGGTAATTCTAGTAGGTAGAATCAACCTAATTGTCCCTAAAGTATTATAACCATTTTCACCCCATAGGCCTACACTTTAGTTCCCACTAGCATCTCCAATTAGACTGCCCCGTCAGCACCGAGGAGAGGAGTTCATGGACTTAGACGGAGGCAGTAAGGAAACTAGCAAATGTACCAGACTGCCTGCAGGTACTTGGCCCTTTCCAGGTAGCTGGGTGAGGAAGTAAGGGAAACGGCTTAGTTTTTCCTGACTGGGTCTGGCTAGTCTCATAGGGGCCTCACCAGTTTGGTAACAGGAGTAGTGTCATTTATTGAATTCCACCCCCCTTTAAGAGGAGAGGCCTTGAGAGGTGATGCCCTCTCTGGGTAGAAAGGCAGAGAATTGCTCATCACCACCTGTAGGAGAGTCAGTAGACCAGAGAGTTATTTTCAGGTTCAATACCGTGGATCAATGGGGATAATGGAGGGTAGGTGGGTTTTCCTGAGAGACTTTGTGTAATGTTGAATGTGTCCAGAAGGACAAGTTTGCAGAACCTCATATTGGTAGATTAAAGAAATAATAAAATAAAAAGCACTTTAGGTTATTTTATCTTTAACCCAATTGCTGCAATTTCTGTTGTGTATATATATACATATATACATATACTTTCCACAAAGTTTTATTTTTTGCTCAGAATAAAAAGTTAAATTGAGGTGTGAAAAGAAAGCACTTACCTTGGTGCAATATGTGTAGCTTGATGGTCGTTGTCCCATGTGGCCCTGACCTGGCCGTGTTTTTCAGCTTGCTCAGCTTGTGCTACAAGGCTGTCTGTAGGGAAACACTATTATGCATCCTCAGCAACTGCTCAATCTATGCAAGCCTGCCCTGTGTGCCCCAGGGCGCCCCCTCAGGCTCTCGGAAGAACTGCTGTGGGCGTTGTTTTCTCCAGCTGACTGTTGAGGCCCCTTTTCACCACTTCTTGGTCCCTTGCCATCTTTCCCCTCTTAGGCATTACAAAATTTTGCCTGAAAGGAAGGAACAGGTTGTTCCTAGATAGAAACCTGGCACCTTCTAGACTTTTATATTTGCATTCATGTCCATTGTCCTTAAAGACTTCTCCAGTGTCATTGGAACCATTGATTTGTGGAACCGCAACAATATTACTCAAGAGTTTACAATTTTCTGGTATCACCGATCAGAAGTATGTTTGGGGAGGGGTTGGGGCAACATGATCCATTTCTGTACTGCTCTTCATACCACCTGGGTTGGTTCTAAGAAAAAAGGCTTCTAGCCTCCATTAAATCCAGTAAACAAAGCTACTAATAATCTTGTTTTTCAACTTCCTTTTCCTTCACCTTTTCCCATTGAATCTTCAATTTGCAGGCTGTAGACTACAGAAGTTTTAAATACACTTCACCAAAGCAGAAAGATTTCCATAGATGCAGTGTGCAAGTGGTTCTGCTGTACTTATGGGAAACTGTCTATTCCTTGACATCTGGGACACAGGGTTGGCAATAAAACCCAGTAATGTGTATTTCTGGCTGGTCAGTCTATTTAGCCTGTTTCTTGCATATTATTGTGGGGAGAGGGAAAGGGTCCTTGTTTCTTCTCATGCCCTTTGGGGATGCTAATGATCAGTCTGGGCATTTCTCAAGTTATTCTTGATCAAGAGGGCTTCTCAGTCTGCATTGAAAAATGCAAATTAAACTGGACCTTTATGTCAAGCTGTACATATTACAAGCTTTTTTTACTGGAAATGAGGTTTAAAACCATACACACTACCCTTTTGGTGGTGTACCCACTGGGCCAAAATTGGGTGATAATGTCACTTTCAGCTCAATGCAGTTTATACGTTTTCTTATGGGAAAATTTTTCATAAAAGCTTTTTTCACCAAAACCCAGGGGTGTTTTTTGCAATATCCTTGTTGTCCTGTAGTGGTGCCAAGTCAGAGGCTTCTCTTGCCCTTTTCCTCTCATGTTCTCAGGCCTCTCAAAGGCTTGTTTGACTCAACAGTCTCCATCTTTTGTTGTGTTTTGGAGAAAGTGGGGGTGGGGTCAGAGTTCAACATGGCATTTTCCTTTTCCTGCCAACTCCCCCAGGTCTCTTTCTGAAAGGTGGCTGGAAACAGGTTTTTTGTGCATTCTCCAGCAGAAATCTTCTAGCCAGAAAAGGCAAGAGCCACCGGGAGCCTTTTTTGACACACTAATCATTGGCTGGTAGTGTTGGTGACAGTTTTTAAAATCCCAAATAGTTTTATTTGGATTATGTAAAAGCCTATCAAATTGATTTAAGTGTGAAACATGGGAACAACAGACTTCCACTGAGCGATATGAAAACGTTACAGGTTCAGTACTTCCAAAGGAAGAAACCTCCAAATCCAAAAAAAGAATAAATATGAATTTGTATTTTTGAAGAATGTGAAATAATGGTGTTTGCTTAATTGCTCATTTTGTATAAACTTAATATTGTACTTTAAAGTATCTGCTAAGAAGTGAAAATTTAACTTTTTTGAATTGAAGCAATATTAAATACTAATGAAATCCTAATTAAATGCTTATTTAAATTTGGTAGTATCTGTGCTTTTCTTCACAACCCTACCCAGGATTGACAATTTTCCCCCCAACCCCACCCAGCCATCAGTCTCAGAGAGAGGACAGAAAGGAAAGGTCGGTCACCAAGAGAGTCTGCAGTTTTCCTTTTAATTAAGGCTCTGCCGAAGGTGTTTTTGGGGGGCTAAGAGCCCCCAAAGCATGAAATGGACATGTAATACTACCTGGAACCCCCAAAGTGGGCCAGACCACGCTGGTGAGCACTGCTGGTCCACCCAAATCCAAGTAGTGAGACTGGGTATTCGTTGGCTACATTTCAGAGGACAGCACTGCCTTCAGCCAGGATGAAGTGGGAGTGAACCCGGCTGCTAGCAAGAGCTGCCACCCCAGGCTTAAGGCCAAGTACCAGCCACTGCCTGTGAAGACTGGCCCCTTTACTTAAGGAAGTTGTTCAGAGTCCAGCCACCATCCCTGGGGAGGGAGAGATATCAGGGGATTGGGCTTGGAGATGGTCACGGCTCCGGAGCTCCATCACCAGCATCCTTTGGAAAGCCACCTCTGGCGGAGACAGCTGGCTGGGGCGGCGCTCCCGGTTTGGCTGAGGCGTTCTAGTTGGAAGGGAAAGGAAAAAAGTGAGCCTTGAAGGAAAGGCCTTGGATTAGGCCCTGCAAGGATATGGCCACTTGGCATTTGGATAGTACTTAACTTTTTCAAAACCTCTCACCCACATCAAAGAAGTTTAAGGGTGAAGCGGTAGGCACAGTCTTCCTTCAGGGGAAGCGAGGGCTCGGCCAGTCTGGCCAGTGAGCAGAACCTACCCCCACCCCCAGGCCCAGCCCGTGGTGGGCACTGACCCCGCCACCAGCTGGCTCCGGGCGACGGCGGCCCAGCTGCCGTAGCATCTCCTCACATGAGGCGATGGTGTCCAGGAGCTGCCGCTGTCGCTGCTCCACCGCGTCCAGCAGCTGCTGGGCGCGCTCATCCCGGTGCGGTTGCGGGGGTGGCCTCCCGCCGAGCCCCAGCCCCGCCTTCCCGCGGTCCACGCCGGCAGCCTCCCTGCCCGGGAGAGAGCGAGACACACAGGTCAGGGCCAGCGCTTGTGGGCTCCAAGCCCCTTCCCTCCCACCCCGACGGGTCCCCTCTCACCCCCGTGACCAGTCTGAGCCCGGGCCCCATTCCATCTCCGCCTGCGCGGCCCGACCACCGCCCCCCTTTCGGCCGCCCCCCCTCCCCAGCGCTGCGCTAGGGCTCCGCAAAGCTGTGCCCCGCCCCGTCCCCACCGGTCTCCTTCAATCCTCCTGGGGGTCGTGGTCCCTTTAAGCTGCCCGGCGCGGAGGTGGGGCCGAGCCTCCAGGACCGGAAGCTGGCTGGGTGCGTCACTTCCTCCCGGAAGCCGGCCTGAGTGGATGCCTCCGGCGCGACCAGGCACCGCACTGAGGGCCGCAGTGGCAGTTAGCATGGGGTTGAGCGATGGGCCGGTGGGCTCCGACCGTAGCGGCCGCCTCCTCCGTCCGCCGAGCCCCACTCCGGCGGCGCCGGGGGCTCGGCTGTTGCGGCTCCCGGGGAGCGGGGCGGTGCAGGCCGCAAGCCCTGAGCGCGCCGGTTGGACCGAGGCGCTGCGGGCTGCGGTGGCCGAGCTGCGCGCCGGCGCCGTGGTGGCCGTCCCCACCGACACGTTGTACGGTCTGGCCTGTTCGGCTAGCTGCTCGGCGGCACTGGGCGCTGTGTATCGCCTCAAGGGCCGCAGCGGCACCAAGCCACTGGCCGTTTGCCTGGGCCGCGTGGCCGACGTCTACAGGTGAGGCTGCCCCGACCCGGCCCCGCTGGGGGCGGCACCGCGGGAGGGGTTTCCGGTGACAGGCTTGGGAGACTGAGGCGACGAGAGCGGGAGGGGCTTGTCCTGGCTCGATGAGGAATCCGGAACTGGAAATTGGTACGGAGCACTTAACGTTAGAAGGCTCTGAGCTAGACGCTGGGACGCAGTGATGAGGGAGGCAGCAGGCAGGGCCCTTTTCTCTTGGCGCTCTTGTGCGTACCAGAGGCGGCCCCGGGGAAAAAGGAAGCTTGGTAGCTTAATTTGGTAACGAGTGCTTTGCCGAACATAAAATAATGAATTTGATATAATAACTTATGACGGTGTCGCAGCTGTGCAGCTGTTACAGTCCCTGAGACAGGCTTGGAGTCTCCAAGACTGGGGTACTCCTCTGGAGTCCTGCTTTCTGCTCAGTCTTAGGGAATCACAGAGACAAGTAGATCGCATTGTAGGCCCTAAGGACTCCTTTTGTAAATCTGTCCACAGTCTGAGAAAGGACTACCAGTGGCTCTTCACTTGAAGTAGATTTGACCTTGTTTTTTTCGTAGGTACTGTAAAGTGAAAGTACCTGAGGAGCTTCTAAAAGAGCTGTTGCCAGGACCAGTGACCCTGGTGATGGAACGCTCAGAGGAGCTCAACAAAGATCTGAACCCCTTTACTCCTGTGAGTCAAGTTTTCTCCTTTTCCAGCTATCTGGCTTTCTCTGGGATTCAGAACAAACCAGTTCCCTATCTCTTCCAGCCTATACCTTATAATCTCCTTTCCCCTTGGCCTCAGCTTGTAGGCGTCCGGATTCCTGATCATGCCTTCATGCAGGAGTTGGCCCAGATGTTTGAGGGACCTCTTGCTCTCACCAGCGCCAACATCAGCTCCCAAGCCAGTTCCCTGAAAGTTGAAGTGAGTCTTTCAGCCCTTCCCTGAGAAACATCAGCAAGCTAAACAGCATTTCCTGTGAGCCAGTGGGGTAATGGTGGTCTGGAATTGCCTGCAGGAGAATATTTTGGCTACCCAGGTGGCGTGCGGGTGGGCGGGCATCCAAATAAAATCTTGAAAAGATCTTAAAGTTTGGGAGGACAGGGGAGAACTGATGTTGTCTTTCTAGTGTCTTAGAACAGGCTGTGATAATTAAAATTATTATATTCCTTATTTTGTAGGGGTGGCAGTTGTCAAGACTACAAAGTTAGGCTGTAAGTTTTTAATAGTTAAGTTACTGCTTTCTGGTCACACAGCCATTAAGTGACTGACCCAGAGTTTTACTCATTTTTTTTTTCTCTTTTTGTTTTCTTTTTGCAGTACTAGGATTGAACCCAGAACCTTGCAAATGATAGGCCAGCACTCTACCCGAGTTTCACCCTGAGCTCTTCCTTAATTTTTATCAAGTTTTCACTTATTGTCTGGGTTGGCCTTGAACTCAAGATTATCTGTCTCAGCCTCCTGAGTAGCTAGGATTATAGCCATGAGATTTTTACCCAGTTTTTGAATCATATCCTCAGGTTAAAGAAGGTATCATCCTAGAGGTACTTTGGCTACCTTGTTTGGATGACTGAGGACATGGGAAATTTCACTTAACTTTTCTTACTAAATTTAAGTTTAGTGGAATGTATTGGGTGGTGAGATCAGAAACTGCAAGCTCAGCATTTTTCTCATTCTCAAACTGCAGGCTTTGGTCTGGATAGCTGTGCAGGGGTGAAGTGGGTAGGAGCGGGGTCTTACCCTGTCTGCAATCCCTTGATCCACTTAGCACAGTAGTACACACCCGGTTTATCTTTTTTTTTTTTGTACTGGGGAATGAACTCAATACTGCACGCTTGCAAGGCAGGCACTGATGCTGCTAAGCTAAATCCCTGGCCACACCTGGTTTTTTTGATTCACTACCTCATTCCCAGCCCTACCTGCACTGTAGTGTCTTTACCCATAGGACAGGGGGAGCCAAACCACAGTCCTGGTAGGAGCATTCTCCCCATAGGCCTACGATTGAGTACTATGTGCTTGCAGAGTCCATCTTGTTTCCTTTTCCTACCCTAATGCAGATCTCCAGTGAGATCCTGGATCAGAGCAACAGAGGTGGAAGGACATTTTGTCTAACCTTGTTTCTTAGGTTTGGACGGAGTAACTTGCATGCATCACTCATTTTGGATAGAGCCCACATCACCAGACCCCCACCTAGAGCTCTAGGTAGTGTTCTTACTCCTCCCTGACCTGAATGATGTATAGAATTAAAGGCCTTGGCCTTTAACTTAAAGGCAAGGCCTTTAAGTTCTGGACAGCTGTTATACAGGATTCTAACCAGGAGTGTCACAGACCTCAGGGGATGCTTGGCCTGGGTGCTATCACAGTGTCATTGGCACAGCTGACCTACATTAAGTGAGGTTCTGCTTCAAGGAACAGACTTCTTCTAAACTGAGGCCTCTTGTTGTAGGAGCCAGTTGCAGTGTGACTTCACTGGGCACACCAGGGAACGTGGCCATGCTTTTCCTCTACCTCTGCAGGAGTTCCAAGACCTCTGGTCTCATTTGTCACTGGTCATTGATGGAGGACCCATTGGGGATGGCCAAAACTTTGAGTGTCGCCTTGGATCTACTGTGGTTGACTTGTCTGTGCCTGGAAAGTTTGGCATCATCCGTCCAGGATGGTAAGTCTCTTTCCTGTGGCATTAGGGAAATTGAGGGAAGCCAGAGAGGTGTAAAGTAGCTGTGACAAATGAAAGCTGTCACTTATGTGTCACCCTAGCAGGGTGCAGGCAGACATGAAGAAATGATAGATGTGATAGGACTAAATTTGCTGACTTTTGGATTCACCAAGTGAATGGTTGATGAACAAAGAATAAGACCAGTGAGGTTCAAGGCCCCTGATCACCAGACATTGGGTAGGCTCAGGACTTTGAAGAGTTGGATGTATCAGTCCTATTTTGTCCTCTTCAGCGCCCTGGAAAGCACTACAGCCATCCTCCAGAAGTATAAGCTGCTCCCCTCACGTGGGTCCTGCTCATGAGCTTTAGAGGGATGACCCAACAACACCGCTGGATACTATGTGTCTGTCTGCTGATGGTTGGTGAGGCCTTATTTGGAGGCCACCGGAGCCACATCACTAGCCTGAGCCGTTACCTACATGTCTTTCTGAACACTAGCCAGAAGCTACTGGCTTAGCTTTGCCCTTCGGGAAGGCTGTATTTATTCTACAGTTTCGTGTATCTGGTGGAAGCCCAATAAAGAGGTGAAGAACATTCCTAACATGAGTATTTTGACATTTCTTCCCTTGCTCTCTCCTTTAAACTAAAAAATAATTAACAGATTTAAAATCTAGTGAGAATCTCTTCTACTTTAAGATCTAAAGTGGCAAGAAATGCTGACACAGTTGAAAAGTCAAGTGACCAAAGACAAGGGCTTTTGAAGCCAGAACCAGGTTGGGATAAATATCGTAGAGCCAGAGGCCACTTTGTTCTGACCTGGAGGGGCCGGTGGTGAGTTGTGACCAGTTGGCAGGAAGAATGGTCTAATGGGAAAATCTAGTGGGGTGGAGGGAAGACCCAAATTAAATAGTAATGGAAAATAAATCCACTCTTAGCCAGTGACTTTTTCGTACCTATTCATAAAGTATAATTAAGATTATATATATAGGGGCTGGGGATTTAGCTCAGCAGCATAAGCGCCTGCCTTGCAAGCAGGCAGTCATGAGTTCGATCCCTGATACCAATAAAAAGGAAAAAGACCAAAAAAAAAAAAAAAAAAGATTATATATATAGTACCTTTAACTCCAGTGTTCCCTCAGCAGCCTTTCATACCAACTGTTAAAGTTATCATTGGGTATGTGAACTTCTTACTATTAAAAAATGCTACTAGTAAACATTTTTGTAAATCATTTATTAAATTGTTTCCTTAGGGTAAGATTATTAGATCGAAGTAATATTCATTTATGGCTCTTGATGTAGATTAGCCTTCAAAAGAACTGAATCATGTTTGTTTGCTGTCAGCGGTGCATGAGGATAGCTGCCCCTTTTTCCTGGCCCTGCCTTAGTTTTCCAGTTGTCCACATTGAAATGAAACTACTACGTGTCAGCATCCAACCCTATCAACTGACCTTCTGACCTTCCTGCCTTGGTTTCCTCAACTAAGCCACAAGCTAGGTGGCCAGGGCTATTCATCTGTGTGGTGGTGTTTAATGTCAATAACCCAGATGAGCTGGGTGTCCTTGAGATGACCTGGGTTCCACTTCCTCTTTCCTCTGTATCCCAGAATTCAGTCTTGAACCCATAATCCTCTCAGTCCAGTGGTTTCCAATGTACATTATTTCAAGTATAACCTAAGAATCTTGCCAACGTATTCCAGGGCAGGGTCCCTGAAATTAGCATATTAGTTTGTAAATAAGCACTGGCTGGTTAATTATTCCCTCTGGAACTCAAATTTAAACTAGTAATTTTTCAACCAAACCCACTCTTCATTGTGCTAAAACTACAGCCAGCCCTGGCCAAATGTCAGAATCTGACTGAGGTCAGAATTCATGAGGTCTTAAGCAAAAGGAATGTGTACTTAAGAAAACCAGTTGGTATTTAATACAGATCACAGCAGCGCTCCACGAGGCTCCAGTGAGAGAGCTCCGTTCAGGCAGCTGAAGGGAGATGTCCTAGATCTCTCCCAAGAGCAACATGTTCATTGGGATTAGTAGGCTCTAGGGCAGAGGTATTTTCTCAACACAACTGTGGTCAGGCACTAGCTACAAGGCCATGCCAAATAAAACGATCCTGTGGCATTGGGAGGACAGGAGCCATTCCTAGGTCAAGTTTTCCCCAGCACCCAAGCACATGCTGAGGTGCTCTGTGTTGAGTGAAATGTGACTGACTGCTCAGAGCTACTTCTGGACAGCTGGGTAATCTGCGGGAGGAACTTAAACCTGTAAGTTCCCTTTCAGAAAGTCTCAGCTGTGGTTCCCTATCTTCAAGAAGACACAATGAGGGAGGAGGCCTGAGAAGGGGACACGGACTGGCAGAGGGAGGAGGGTGCATGCTAGCGCAGAGTGCTGAAACCCAAGGGCAGAACTGCCGACTCCACCACACAGCAACAACCCCCGCCGCAGGGTTCCAAGTTGGAAGAGAGTATCTAAAAGTGGTCTGAGGGCATGGAGCTGCCCTAAGCTACGCGCAGCCACCCGCCAAGTTCTACCTTCTCCTGCAACGTTGCCTTGCTTTGCATCCCTGCAGTGGGCCACACCACGCTCATCAGAGTACCAGGCTCTGTTCTCCATGGGCCCTTGCTTGGTGGCCACCCAGAAGCACCTAGCTGCTGACTTGACCAGTGAGTGAGTGCCTGTGCCCTCAGCTGAGCCTGCGTGGTGACATCTGGCAAGGTTGGCATGTCTGCCTCAGGGCGCTCACATCAGCCACTGCTCCTTCTCCTTGATGAAGTGCTCGGCCCAGCGGCGGGTCAGCTCTAGGTACAGGCTAGGCTGATGAGGCAGGTAGTCCAAATACAGGCGAGTGGGTGTCTTTTTGGGAACGGCCTTCTCGATCTGTGTGCCTTCGTGCCACTCATTGAAAGAGGTGATGGAGACGATCTCTGGCCTCACCGTCAGGGCTGCCTGCAGCGCTGTTTCATAGTACTTGCCATTGACCCTGTTCCGAGTATTGTGGTTATTCCAGGGCCGGATGCTGGTGTCAATGTAGCCAGGGCCCACGCTGGGAATAAACATGAGATTGTTTGCATCGCAAAAGTTCTTCACAGCTTTCCAGTTCTGATGGGAGGAGCCAAAGGAGAAACCATTGGAGGCAAAGTAGGTGTACATGCCATCAAATCCTGCCGCGAGGATGTCATGGGTATGGCCCTCCTCCACCAGCAGCGCTATGAAGACACCATCATAGGGTGTGTTTCGGATTGAGTGGGGCCCATTTGGCGTCAGGAGATGTGCCCAGGCCTCGGGGGATGTCAGGTATGAGTCGTAGATATAAAAGAGTGGGAGGCTTTTGCCCATGCTGTTCTTATAGCGGTAAAATGCACCATGGGAGCCGTACCTGAAGAGCAGGAGGAAGGAGTTAGATAAAAGAAACCCACACAGCTATGGGAACACACAGAGGTCATTCTCAATGCCCACCACACAGTTTAGGGCCAGCCAGTCTCCACAGGGGAATTTATGCAAGCAAGAACCCCCCTCCCATCCCCCAGCCCTCCCATTCCTAAGGCTCACTACCTCAACCTAAGCCATCACCTCCTTTCACCTGGATTTCAGCAGTTGCCACTTACCTGGTCTTCAGCTTCCATTCTTCCTCCAAATGATCTTTTTATTTATTTATTTGTTACTGGGGATTGAACCCAGGACCTTTGCACTAAGCTGCATCCTTAGCCCTTTTAAAAATTTTTTTTGTCTTTTTCTTTTTTTATTGGTATCTAGGATCGAACTCATGACCACACACTTGCAAGGCAGGCACTTATGCCGCTGAGCTAAATCCCCAGCCCCACCCTTTTTTAAATTTTGAGACAAGGTCTCACTAAGTTATCCACACTGGCCTCTTGGTTCAGCCTCCTGAGTAGCTGGAACTATAGGTGTGTGCCACTCTGCCTGGCTATTTATTCATTCCGAAATAGTCTTACTATGTAACACAAGCTAACCTTCAAATAATGATCCTCCTGTGTCAGTCTCCCAGGTATCACCACACCAGCTCCTTTCTATTTTAAAAATATAAATTAAGTTGTACATTTTGGGTCTTATTAATATTTCAGAGCTTTTTTTTTTTTACACTAGGGAAACTATGATATTTACAAATGTGAGTTTGATTTATTTTACTTATGCAATATATTAATTAGTATTTCCTACTTTTTAAAAAATTCTGTATCATTTCCTTTTTTCTGTTTTGCTTCTTTAAAATAATAAAAAGAATTAAGGTGATCCCAGCCTGAGCAACTTAAACTGTCTCAAAATACAAAATAAAGGGCTGGGGCACCGCTCAGGGTAAAGACCCGGGGTTTAATCCCTAGCACCAAAAAAAGAAATGATTGCTCCGATTGCTCCTCACCAGGACTTGCAAGCCCCACCCAACCCTGCTTGATCTAGCTTGCCTGTCTCTATTGTGGCTATTCCACACATCACTTCCCACCTGGCCTATTCCAGTGCCACATGTTCCATCCTGTGCTGTTGTATCTGTCACTCCTCTGTCTAGAATTTTCTCCCTGCCCCCTGATCTTTGCAGAGCTTTTTTTTTTTTCATTCTGATGTTGGATATTGAGCCCAGGGCCTCATGCATGCTAAGCAAGCTACATGCAATTTCATCTTTTATTTTTTTTCTTTTTCTTGAGACAGGGTCTCTCTATGCAGTTGAGGCTGGTCTCACTTTGTAGCCCAGACTGGTCTTGAACTCTCAACGATCCTCCTGTCTCAGCCTCCTGAGTGCTGGGATTACAGGCGTGAGCCACCATGCCCGGCTCATCTTTTTTGCTTAACCACATTTATCTTTTATAGTTCTGAAAGCTGCTAAATCCAAGATCACTGTGCCTAACAGATCTGGTTCTTAAAGAAGGCTGCCTCTCTGACTGGTGGATGCCCATCATCTTGCTTTATGCTCCCAGGGATGAAAGCCACAGCTAGCCCCAAATTCAGGTTGCAATACTGTCTACTGAAAAAGGTGTCCCTGGCCACTCATGTTAAAGTAATTTCTTGAGGGCTGAGGGTATAGATCAACCCTTATCCCTAGCATATTATATTTGATCCACCTCCAACATTGCAAAAAAGTAAGTTCTTTAGGCACACTTGAGTACAAACCCTGTGTTATTCGTTATTCTTTTGTAGTATGAATTACTATTTAGTTTTTCATGTTTAATTATTTCTGGCTCCACTGTACCCCTAATACACACTAGAATGTAAGCATAAAATCAGAGGCTAAGAAACATATCTAGATACATATAAGCACTCAATAGATACTTTTTTTTTTTTGGTACCAGGAATCAGATTCATGACCTTGCATTTACCAGGCAGGTGGTGTGCCACTGAGCTATATCCCTGGTCTTAGATATTTTTCAAGTGAATGACTATGTGCAAGCACTATACAAAGCAATTTTGCATATGTTAATTTATGTAACTCACAAGATTCAATGCTTAGAGGGCACAGAACCAGAACTGAAACCCAGGTTGCCTATCTTGCTTTAAAAACAGCTGCTGGGAACATACACATTCTGCTCTTGTGTCTCTTAATCTGGCTCTCCAAACCTTCTATCCCTGCATACCCAAATCCCCATCAAAACCCCAGTCCCCAGAGCAACCTTACATGTCAATGATGTACTTGATGTTCTCATGTACAGTGATGTCGTCCCGGCCTTTGTAGGGTTGGATGTGGAAGGCCACCTGCCACAAACACAGAAGTTACTGATCAGATGAGTACCATTCCAGGAGGTACAACATATAAGACTCATGCCCCAACCATGGCCTGGAGGACAGGCTAAGCTTGGAAGGTCTGACTGTGGACCCCAAGGCTGGCATTGCTGTTATGTGCCAAAAAAGAAGGCCATGAAGTTTGCCCACTTCCAACAACAGGACACTAAGACTCATTCTGGTGAGCTGCTTGCTGCAGGACGGCTACCAGGCTTCAAGTTATGTGCCAGCTCCCAGTAGTTGGAACCAGGCATCTGACACATTGGAAAGAAGTTTGTTTCAAGTTGTGTCCATGAGAAAATGTGCTATGACTCATTAAATATGGCAGCGATTGACTCAGGGACAGCAACCTGGGCTGCTTGCTATAATTTTCTTCCTTTGTCACCAAAATGGGGATGGATTTAAAATTGGCACATTGGGAGGAAATAATTGCATGCTTAGCTTAAGTGTTTCTGCTTAAAGGGAAGCCTGTCTGCTCAGCACCTAGGTTTTGCTCTATTCCTTGAGGCCTGGTAATGTCTTCCATTTGAGACCAAAGTCCAGAATTCAGTCTCCAGGTTTATTTGGCTCTTGCCTCCCTTTATCCAGGGTCAGAATCTCCAACCTAATTTCCTACTACTTAATAAAAGTAATATTTATTTGGGCTCCCATTTTCTGTAGTTTTCTCAAGAAAGAGGGACATGGGACTCTGTATTATTAGCACCACATTTGTTATGTTTGCCATTCCTGGGCTGTGCCAAGAACTTCCCCAGAGGCACGAAGTGTAGAGGAGAGGGACTCTCCAGAATGGGAAAGTACATCACCCCTGCTTGGAGACTCACCTGGATGCTGTACTGATGGGCAGTGTCCAGGATAGCAGGTACCAGGTCATCTGAGGGTTCCCCATTATCATCGGCCATGCCAGGTGGATACCAGGAGAGGACCAGGACTCCTGAAACACAACACAGAGGCCTCTTCAGAGGCACACAGCACCCTTCAACAGACTTTCCTCTCACATGCCGTCTCCAGCTGTAAAATGACTCCTGGAAACCTTCTGCCAGGTTCATTTCCGGCAGCTCAGACGCCAAGCTTCGGAGCTGTCCGCGCCCGCGGTGCTGAAGCGCCGCGCTCAGGAAAGTAGCAACGGGCCTGGGAGGCAAGGAACCCGGCTTCAAATATATCGGCAAGTAGCAAAACAAAGGGGAGAGGGTGGCAAAGCCACACCCACCTAGAAGCCACAGTCCTACCTCCGAAGAGAAGCACCCTGAGGAGAAATCATCTCGGTGCTTGTGTGGGAAATAGGTAGCATTCACATTGACTGCCCTCCTAAGACCCTAAATCTGAATGAAGAGTGGCCCCTATCGGATTTATCTCTATATATTCATCACCCCTTTCTGTCATTCCATACTTCCCCCCTTATGAACCATCTCCAGGCACATTAAGATGTACTGTAAAGTCTAGCAGAATATGAATCAAGTGTGCTTCCCCAGCACTGCCTGCATAGGTAGCTCCCAGAAACCTGGTTTCTAGCTGGGCACTGGATGAATCTCCCACCGAGGGACCATCATGCAACATGGACAACTTTCCTCTCTGCAGCAAACAAAAGCAGGAAGGGCCGCTGCCCTCCCCCAGCGCCGGGTATGAAAGCAGAGCTGTCCCAGGCTACTCCTCTAAACCACAGACTTCTGAATGGCCAGGATACTTAGGCCTCACTTTCCTAGAACCTGGACACACATCAGATTTGAGGTCTCTGCCTCCCTCTCCTCGCTGTCCTTCCCTAGGGTTTGCTAGTGCAAGCCCTCAGCAGCTAGCCCTGTAGAACAGCCTTGGAACTGCTGGGGGCCAGAAGGGCCCCGGGAGGGGCCGTCGTAATCCTAGAAGGAAGGGCTAATGGGGCGCAGTGGGCCCATGATAGGAGTGGCAGGAAAGGGCTCAGAAGTCAGGCTGGCAAATGAATAGGTCCAAAAGGGTCGTGATGGCGACAGCAGAAGTTGGGGTGTGGAAAGGAGGGCTGAGAAGGAGGGCGAGGCTGGGGACAGGGCCTCCGGGGGTGCGGGGCGCTCACCAATGGCGGCTTCCTTGAGCTGGGTCATGTGTTCCCGCAGCACGTCGGGGTCCCGGGAGCTGTAGGGTCCCAGCTCCGGGTAGAAACTGGAGCCCAAGTCGTCCGGGGGGCTGTGGCGGCCGCGGGGATAGCTGGCCGAGATCTTGGGGTCCCAGTGTGGCACCATGACGTGGTCCCAGTGGATATAGTGGCCCTCGCGCCGCGGGCTTCCGTACCACGAGTAGTAGAAGGCGTGCAGGTCGGAGTAGACGCGCAGGCTCTGCCCGGGCGCGGGCTCGGCCTCCGCGGGGACCGGGCCCGGCGAGCCGCGGGGCTCCGCGGTGCGGGGCGGCGGCGGCGGCGGCGGCGGGGGCGCGGCGGGCGCTGCCGGGGCCCGAGCTGCGGGCGCGGGGGCCCCCTCCGCGCGTCGCTCAAAGGGCGCCAGCTCCAGCGCCGGGCCCAGCGCGGGGAGTCCGTCCGGGGCCTTCAGCGTGCGCAGGCCCATGAGGGTACCGAAGGCGAAGAGCAGCACCAGGAACAGCGCGACACACGCGCGGCGCCGCCGCCGGGCCATGGCGTCTGCTGCCCCCGTCCCGACCCCGCTACCTCCCGGCCCGCCGCGCCATGGTCGCCTGCGCGCCCGCCCGGCTCCCACGCACCGCGCCGCCCGCGCGCGTCCCAGGGAGACGGCGACGCCGAGAGGAGTGGCGAGGGCGTGGGCGGCTCCCGCCTCTCCGCGCCGTACGGGCGGGCCCCGTACACAGAGCCTGCGGCCGTGCAGACCGAGGGGGCGGGGATGGAGGCGGGCGCTGGGGGGGCGGGGACGCGGCCTCGGGAAGCCGCAGAAGATCTGGGGAGACGCGGAGATTCGAGGGGGGACTTCGAGAGGGGTCGGGGTGGGGCGGTATCGGGGGCGAAGCGGACCCAGGGCTGGGGGAAAACGCGCTGATCTGTCCCCAGTCACTCCGTTGTGCCCCCAGCGCCAGCCCCCTCCAACCCCTGTCCCCCCTCCCCATCACCCCGCCTCCTGTGCGCTAGGAGACAGCTCCGGAGGACTCTGGAGCGCCCTGAGCACCCCGGATCTGGCCTTGGAGGAAAAAGAAGGCGGGGCCTTGCGCCAGGTGCTCTGAGCAGCCTGGGCCAAGGGACCCCCACAGCAAACGTCTGGCATCTCATTGCTTTTATCTGGTTTAGACATACTCATCCCAAATTGCTGACCATGGGCATGGAATTACTATAAACAGATTAGATTAAATGCTTTAGTGGATTAAATGTTGGGAATGTGCCAGGCTGGAGGCTGAGGCAGGACTTGTGAGTTCAAGGCCAGTCCTGTGGCGTACACAAAGGAATGAGATAACTTTTCTGGGAATGAGTAAAAATGCGAACAAAAAAAAAAAAAGATAAGGATGCAATTTTCAGGAATATCAGCACTTACGGGTGGGGCAGCAGCAGAGAGCAAGCCCATGGGCTGTCAAAGGACAAATTATGGCACTTAGATATTTTTTTTTTTTTTTGTACTGGGGGATTAAATTGTAGGGTGAGCTACCACTCAGGTACATCCCAAACTGGATTTTGTTATTAATTTTGAAGCTGTGATCCTCCTGCCTCAGCCTCCGGGGTCACTGGAATCACACTCATGCAGGAGGAGTGCAGTGAGTTTGATGCTAGGCTGGGCTACATAGTGAGTTCAAGTCCAGCCTGAACTGTATAATGAGGTTTTATCTCAAACAAAACAAAACAAAAACAAATATAGAATCCTAGGTCTAATCCAGACCTACTCTATCAGAATCTGAATTTTTATAAAATTCTCAAGGAAATAATATGTTTGTTAAAGTCTGAGAAGTACAACTTTTCCCCCCTAGTTCTGGAGACTGAACCCAAGGCCTTTGAGCTGAGCTGTGTGCCCAGCACTTTCAATGAGAAGAGGTCTTACTAAGTTGCTGAGTTGCCAGGTCTGGGCCAACTTGTGATCTGCCTCCTTCAGCTTCCCAAGGTACTGGACTTACATGAATGTGCCACCACAGGCACCTTGGTTTTTTTTTTTCTTTTCATTTTTTAAAATACTGGTCATCTTCAGGGACATAAAGTGATAGCCCATTGGAGCGTTCATCTGCATTTTATTGATGATTGGGTTAGTGATATTAAGCACCCTTTCCTTTACTTACCCTTTGACTTTTTCTTTCTTTTGAGTCTGTGGCTCACTGAATTGCCAAGCCATGTGTGCTCTTAAAAGGAGAACACATTGTGGGTGTGGTGGTGCTCATCTATATTCCCAGCACTATGGGAGGCTGAGGAATTTTATTTTATTTATTTATTGAGGAAGGGTCTCATTATGCAGTTCAGGCTGCCCTTGAACTCATTGTGAGTAGCCCAGGCTGGCCAGGAACTCACGGTGACCCTCCTACTCCAGTCTCCGAAGTGCTAGAATTACAAGCATGTGCCACAATACTTTGCAGCCTTGGATTCAGTAGCCAGTACCAATTCCAAAAAACAAGATAAAGCAACACACACTAACAACAAAACAACTCAAACCCAAAACCAAAACAATGCCAGATCAAAGTGTGCGGAGGACAGGACTTGGTGTTGCTGAAGGTGGGGGAGGGAGCCAAAAGCTACAGGTGGTCTCAGGAAGCTGAGACACCCCAACTGGCAGCCAGTAAGCAAATGGGACTTTGCCTTACAGATAAGTGGATTCTACCAGTGAACAGGGGTGTGGCTTCATTCCTGGAGCCCCCAGCAAGACACCCAACTGCTGACATCTTGGTCTTGGCCTTGTGAGATGCTCAGCAGAGAACATACAAATCCATCCTGTTCCTGGACTTCTGATTTACAGAAATAATAAGATAAAATTTGTGCTGGTTTTAAGCTGCGACATATGTAGTGACTTGTTATGACAGCAAAGAAAATGAATGCTTTTTTTTCTTTTTGAGTCTCTCTATGCAGTTCAGGCTAGCCTTGATCTCACTTTGTAGCCTAGGCTGGTCTCGAACTCACAACTAATCCTCCTGCCTTAGCCTGCTAAGTGCTGGGATTACAGGTGTGCACCACCATGCCCGGCTTAATGAATGCATTTTGGTGGACAGTTCTGTGCCAGTTCAGACTAAACTTATTCTGGTTGACATCACACCACAGATACAAGACGAGTCTATCTCAGTATCCTTGCCTCAGCAATCACTCTGAATAAGACTATTTTTACTTACCCCACTGTCACAATTAGACAGATCAATGAAATAAAAAATCAACAAAGAAATATCAGAACTGAGCCAAACCTGTGAACAAATGGATTAAGTAGATATCTACAGTCACACACACACACACACACACACACACACACACACACACACACACAGGTCATCTATTATGAATATAGATTTAGCATGGTTCTGGAAATCATAAGATAGGATAGAATTGTCCCTGAAATTTTAAGGGGAAAAGTAACTTCAAACCTAGAATTAATTCCATACCCAGTTTCACAAGTGTGGTTCAGTGAATACCAGTGTTTCTCTCCTGTGATTCTTCTCTCAGGAAACCTAGGTAACCTGCTTGTTGCCACCCCACTGTGGGCGAAGGGGGACGGGATCACTCCTAAGACAGCCTCCCCTGTCACCTGTCCCAGTTCCCGTTCAGTTGCAGCTGCTGTTCTGGTTGGCCTTGTCCCGCGCTGGGGTGGGAGTGTATGCGGGCAGTTGGCCTGTTTACTTGTTTATTACTTGTTCACCTGTTTGTTACTGTCCCCACTGTGGACAAAGGAAGACCCGACATCTACATCTACGTCTCATACCTGTTCTGGAGCTAGTTTTTGTTTTAGTCGGAGTAGTCAGCTGCAGCTGCTGTTCCAGGCGGATTTGCCCATGGGCTCGGCAGTAGGAATACATTAACTTCTAGGGGCCTGTGTGAATGTGTGTATATATCTGTACAAAATAAGTCATGTACGCCCAAGGTTTCCTGGACTCGGCTGGGAACTGAAAAAAAGTGGTTTGATCAGTTTAAAAACAAAAGTAATTGGAAAAATGATTTTCACTATAATGAATAAAGACATAAAAAAAGTGATAAAGCTTTAATATACCAGAATATACTAGTGAGGTGATGCAGGTAGCCAGAGAGAGAGAAATATACACCTGAAAAGTCAGCTGGCCCAATGGCTAAGCCAAAACGGGGATTGCCTTTTCTTTTCAGAGAGGGTAAGGAAACAAGACAGAGCCCAAGCCATACATGGTGGTACAAGCCTGCAGTCTCAGCACTTGGAAAGCTGAGGCAGGTGCATTGTTGTGGATTTGAGGCCGGCCTGGGCTACAAAGGGAGTTGAAGACCAGCCTGAACTGCACGGCGAGATCTTGTCTCAAAAAAAAAAAAAAAAAAAAAAGACAGAAGAAAAAAGAAACAGAACTCCAGCCTGAGGTAAATAACCAAAGTCCTGTCAAGCCTAAAGAAGTTTTATAGGAAAAGTCAAATTACCTATTAACTTGTTTTGAAGTCCTGTAGTACTCCCACGATCTTGTTTTGACTGATTAGACTCTGTTCCATTCTATATGATAGTATCAAGTTTGAAGAAATAGGCAACTACTTTGAAGACAATAAGATTCACTAAGATACCCATTCTGGTTTGACTATTGTCTTCTTTGGAAGTCCTGTAATGTTTACAATGCCTAAGTTTTATTGGTCTTGTTCTCTACTGTTTTGTCCAACTTTATAATATCTAATAAGATAGACAATTCTTTTTAAGGAAACAAAGGACAACGTTGATAACCATTGTTGATAAACTTGTACTCGGTTCTACACCATGTGCTACGTCTATCCTTGGTATTGACTGACAGCTTTGTTTTGCCATATTTGACTGTATTCTTCCCCCCCCCCCAAAGAAAGTAATAAGCACTAAGGAGTAATAAAATCCAAGATGTGTAAATTTTGTTGTAAAAAAGAGAGGGAAAAAAAAAAAAAAAAAAGAAAAAGAGCTCTAACGGATATAACAGCAAGTGTGTTTGGGGGTGTTAAATAGCTGACTTTATCAATGTTTTTGGAACATTGAACACAGCTGTTTGCAGTCTCCCTGTTTGAATGTCCACCTTGTGTTCTTTGATACTGTGATTTGAGGAACTATTTTCAAGAAGATAGTGTGTAATCTACTAGCAGGTGATTTCTTACTGTTATGTTTTTTTGTTTTGTTTTGTTTTGTTTTGTTTTGTTTTGTTTTGTTTTGTAGTTCTGTATTGCGTGTACCCTTACGCCGCTTTGGTTTGTTTTGTGTTTTTCTCTTTTTCCTCTTAAATAAAAAAAAAAAGTCAAATTACAAACTTTAACTAACTGGTAGTTATACTTTTGGTTTTCAGTTTGAGTTCATGTGCATAAAGCATTTCTAATACATTACAAAGTTTTGAATTTACAGGGTTAATTGCTCTTTTCCTTACTCTGCTGTTTTATAATAAAACACTTGGGGCTGGAAATTTAGCTCAGAGGCATAAGCGCCTGCCTTGCAAGCAGGCAGTCGTGAGTTCGATCCCCGGTACCGATAGAAACGAAAAAGACAAAAAAAAAAAAAAAAAAAAGAAAAAAGAAAGTTATAATAAAACACTGAGTCAAGGTTACTAGAGGTCTGTTGACAGTTGCTCAAGTTTACCACGTGAGGGGATAAAAGGGACACTTCAAAATTTAAGCTGCTATAGTCAAATTTGTTATAAAAGGTTACAGAAGTGGGTGAGGAAAGATATTAAGAAGGCTATCAATGTAAGAGATATACTTTTGGTATGAGAGGATTCTGTATGATGAGTTCTTGTTTGGCTAAAGACATAAACAAGACTAGAAAGCTTATGTTGAGGAAAGCTTGTGGAAGTAGTTTATTAAAACAAAATTATATATCATGTACTATGTCCACCCTTTGTTTTGACCAACTCTGCTTTGTTTTGTCACATTTGGTTTTATTCTCTTCCAAAAAAAGTAATAAGAATGTGGGAGT